TGACGCGTATTTATTGTTGGTGTGGCCACATTGACATGTAACAGCTGTCTGTAGGTAAAAAGGAAAACATAAGTACATTTATGTAACGAAGCTCGAAGCGGATCATTATTCATCACTAAGAACCTTTGATAAATTGACATTGTATCTTAAAAGATAATTACAATTTATCCTTCTTGTTCCTCGTTGTTTTTATGAAATAAAAAAAACTAAATAAATTATATTTTTTTAAATTAGTACATCCCACCTGCGAATCGAACTCAAACGCAATTATAAATAAACAACTTGAAAAAATCAAACTGCCTACGGCGGGAATCAAACCCACGCACGACCTTTCGCTTACCAAGCCACTGTTCTTCCATCTGAGCTACTTAGATACTGGATGAACCCATTCGATTCCCGCCTTAGGCAGTTAGATTTATTCAAAGCGACTCTAATCCCTAAGAAATTTTAAGAAATCAAACGCAAGTCGAAAGAGTCCTCCAATCCACTCTTCCACAGAACAACAGAGTTTCAATATCACAAAGGTTCCAAAGGACATCATCCAAGTTTCATATATTTTTGGTCCAAAATCAAAAGTGCCGGCCAACAAAAAAAAGTGCTGTATTCTGACAGAATACGTCCGCCTTAGTATTTGTTACTATGACACCAAAGCTGTAGCACCACTGTGCGTCATAGTATTTGAAATCAAAGTCATTCACGTTTCATATACATATTTTTAGAACTCAAATACTACGATGCTACAGCTTTGGTGCCATAGTAATAGGATGCTAAGGCGGACGTATTCTGTCAAAATACAGCACTTTTATGTTTTGGCCGGCACTTTTGATTTTGGACCAAAATGGATGATGTCCTTTATTTTAAACAATACAAAGCTTCCAGAAGCACTAAATAAGATAACCTCAGATTAGAGACCGACACACACCGTTACTCTCTTATTGTTTCAGAAGTTGCCCGTTCCAGCGAAATATTTGGCGCGAACTAATAAACTTTTAACCAAATAATACCAACTCGGTAAAGTGGCGAGTTAAATACCGACCTGTGTGCGCTCCCCTTTATAATTATAGCGGAGCGGGCGTGTTTTGTTTTTTCTTTGTTTTTAAATGTGTTGGCGTCGATTTTTAAAATAAGAACATGACATTATAATAAAATTTTCGCCAATTTATGCCTAATAGTCCAGTCAATGAATGCTTTAACGACGGTGTAGAGAGAAATCCGTGGAACACAATTTCTGACCTCGGGACTTTATTTAGACTAGTTAGGAGATGAACATAGCAAAAGTCCCCGCCCTTGGCCCTTGAGCCGGCGGGGTGAGGGGGGTTTAAAGGTACCACTTTTCGGTTTTTCGCTTAATCCTCGGAAACTATGTGTCCTAGTGACATGACTACTATGAACCAAAATAAGCTTATTCAATTTGCTACAGGTGAGATAGTCAAGTTTTTCTATATCTTGTATAGTTTTCGCGGTATCTGCTCTAGAAGGTCTGTAAAATTGGAAATTTTATTTTTGTCTTACATGTTCCCATCAGGAGAAAATCGACTATATCAACATTGAGCAAACATCCTAGACATGCGGGAGCATGTGAAGCCTAGTTCCAGGGAGGGGACTGTACCGTGCGTATATTTGGACGAATCAATTGGAGCCACTTTTGAATCCTCGTCACTCAAAAACTACTGTGCATTAACACTTCAAATTTGGCTCATGTATTGAGGCTTGTAAGATAAACATCAGCTTCAAATTTCATAAATATACCTCAAACGGTTTTTTAGATATTGACGTTCAAAAATCGACATTTAGAACACTTATTACTATCTATCACCTGTGAAATGTTAAAATTTACTGGTTTTTTATTTGTTCCTTTGTATTTACACATCTACCTATCTGGATGCCAAATTTGAACCTTCAAGGTCATCTGGAAGTGGTTAGAATTTGGTCTATAGGTCAGACATGTAGATTTTTGGACGTCAATACCTAAAGAACCGTTTGAGGTATATTTAGAAAATTTGAAGCTGATGTTTAAATTGCAAGTCTCAACACATGAGTCAAATTTGAAGTGTTAATGCACAGTAGTTTTTAAGTGATGAGGATTCAAAAGTGGCTCCAATTGGTTCGTCCAAATATACGCACGGTACAGTCCCCTCCCTGGAACTAGGCTTCACATGCTCCCGCATGTCTAGGATGTGTGCTCAATATTGATTTAGTCGATTTTCTCCTGTTGGAAACATGTAAGACAAAAATAAAATTTCCAATATTAACCTTCTACAGCAGATGCCGCGAGAACTATACAAGATATAGAAAAACTTGACTATCTCACCTGTAGCAAATTGAATAAGCTTTTTTTGGTTCATAGTAGTCATGTCACTAGGACACATAGTTTCCGAGAATTAAGCGAAAAACCGAAAAGTGGTACCTTTAAACCCCCCTCACCCTGCCGGCTCAAGGGCTAAGGGCGGGGACTTTTGCTATGTTCACCTCCTAACTAGTCTAAATAAAGTCCCGAGGTCAGAAATTGTGTTCCATGGATTTCCATCTATAATGCTTTATTGACTGGACTATAAGTGATAAATAGGTATTATGAATAAAAATGTGTTTAAAGGTTTTCTAAACTAAAAATTAAAAGTTGTAAAGTATGGAAACATCCTTCATTTTGGACGATAAATCGAGCCCTCGAATTACAAGTTGAGTAATTTTGAGTTAATTTTCAAATTAAATGTTACGCCAGAATAGAGTACCCAGTGTTACTGAGAAATTGCCCAAGCTACGGACAATTATTTGTCCACAAACAAGTACCTAGTTAGATTGCAACAAAAGCACCAGTAAAACATGTTTCTACATAAACAAAATAAAACAATTCGGGCCTTTTCACCTCAAATCGATGTGTTTTATTGGATGCATTTATTTTTATACATTAGTGAACATTATACATGATAATCGCTTCGCCACAGCAATACATGGAACACTCGGGCACCAATTTAATCTCAGAAACTACAAGTGGGGTATCCTTGTAGGGTATGGGGGTTCCTTTTAGAATGCAGGTGCTCACTAAGACGGGATTTTGCAAAATTCAACCCCTAAAGGAGATCCACGCGTACGAAGTCGCGGGCGGCCACTAAGAGTACGTAATAAACGTTGGTACAGAGACGTCAAAAATAAGTGCTCATGCTCATGGCACTGACATAAATCTCCCGTAGGAGGATAAGGATTCAAACTCGCGACTTTGACACAAACCGCCAGACCATACAGCCATAAAACCGCTACTTCAAATTAACGACGTTAGGTACGTCATACATTACATAATAATACTCGTACTGTTACGTCACTAGCCAATACCCTTCGATACGTACTTACTTTTCTGTGACGATCTCTGACAGTTTATTATCCGCACCGTATTGTGGCTCGATTCATAATCTCCGCGTTCGATTCCCGTCTTATTTTTCCCTCCGCGTCATCACCGGGGCGGGGCGATACGTCCGCAATGACGTCATTGCCCGGGACATCAACGTGGAGACAGTGGAGGAGTTCATCACGCGCCTGGCGCGGGTCATGTATGACCGCGCGGACAACGGCCCCCACTGCCATCTCCACAACATCGCGCCTACACCAGCCCGCCCCCCGGGCAACCGCCCCCTCCCCCGGGACCTCCTGCTGCCAGAAGCAGAGGACGCCGACACCACCCAGCCTGCGGCGCCTGCGAGACCCGTCTCCGCACCAGCCGCCACAGCACCAGCAGTCACAGCACCAGCTGTCGCAGCCCCGAAGCCCCGCTTCNGACCCGTCACCGCACCAGCCGTCTCCGCACCAGCCGTCTCCGCACCAGCCGTCACAGCACCGAAGCCCCGCTTCAAAATAGTGTCGGCCCAACGCCCGCACTAAGAGAACACAACACCAACACCCGAACATTATGTGACTGCCTGAAAGCTCCCTGGCATCCAGGAACCGCCCGCTCGCTGGTCGTTCACTGGGCCTCGACCAACGTCGACTCACCCGGTGGGCTGGTACTGCGCCGAGGGCGGGACAGTGGTGCCAGGTAGAAGCCCAGGCAGTCCGTCGCCAAGCGACGTCAAACCACCGACTGGCAGTAGCCAGTCGAAATGCAGCACGGGCCATGAGCACAAGCTCGACTGTCGATCGACATCCTCGGTGGCAGGTACTGTCCTTACAGCAGGTACGCCTTCTTTGAATTTGCCCGTTATACAACTACCTACTTTTTCTGGTGATTTTGAGGATTGGCTTAAATTCCACGACACTTTTATTTCATTGATTCATACAAATGACAATATTCCTAGCATTAATAAATTTCACTATTTACAATCTTCATTAAAGGATAAAGCCGCAAGTGTCATAAATTCAGTAGATTTTTCTGCCAACAACTATGAAGTTGCCTGGCGCTTTTTATGTGAAAGATATCATAACAACAAAGTTTTAATCACCAACCACATACACGCATTGTTTGACATCGAGCCCTTTACAAAGGAATCGTCAGTTTCATTACGAAATCTGATTGACAGCATCAAAAAGAACTTAAGATCTTTAGAGTCTCTTAACGTGAACACGCATAACTGGGACTTGTTAATGGCATGTATTTAAATGATCTTTTTAAATTAGCAAAAACGGCAAATAAAAAAATCTAAATNTTTGATGCTTCGTATAAGTCGCTCCCATGCCCCACCCCAGTGTGGACTCGCAGGTGGTATGAATGTCCATTCAGTTGCGTTGTTTGCAGCTTCAGTGCGGAGCACTCCTTCGTCCAGTTCCTTGATCGATCGTTTGAGTTCTGTGTCAGCTCCTCGCAAGTTAGTCCCGTTGTCTGACATCAGATGTCGCGGCCAGCCGCGGCGCGCTGCCATGCGCCTGAGTGCCATAATCAACGAATCTGTGCTGACTGAATGGACTATTTCTAAGTGGACAGCGCGCACCGTAAGACATGTGAAAATTACACCATACCTTTTCTCATGTCGACGGCCAACTGTCACGGTCATTGGGCCAAACAGATCAATCCCACAATGAGTGAATGGACGTTGGTGGTGAGCTACGCGGGCGGCAGGTAAGTTACCCATCCTTGGTATTTCGGGCTTAGCCTTCCTTATTCTGCATACCATACATCGCGATGAGACATATTTAACAGTTGGTCTCAATTTTATAATCCNTGACTGTCTTATTTTTCTTGTTTTGAAGTAATCTGTCTAGTCTCCGAAACGCTTCCTAAGCCCATAAAATGTTTAGTATCCCATTGACTTATTTCTCAGTAAGGAATGACAATCGACCTATTTTCCGGAGCAGGAAAACTATTTATAGACATCAGCTCTTTTCGGATTGTTCGTTGTTAGTCGTATGTATATGTTTAATAGATCAGAACATTATCTTTTTAACTCTTATCCAGAGTTACGTATAATAAGTACTTAGTTGAGAAAAAAAAAACTATAAACAACTACACTAGCTATTGCTTGGGGCTCCGCCCTCGTGGATTTATAATCATTTACACAATCTAATGGAATTATACATTAAAGAAAAATAATTTGTATTTGGAAACAAGTTTGGATGTTTATAGTAGGTAAATTATTTAATTTGTATATTATCAGATGAATTATGTAACAAGACCGTTAGATGGTTTTTTTGCTAGATAATGAGAGAAAAATAATGTCTGGTTTTTACGTTTAAGACAAATAAAACTCTTATCGGTTTGTTTTTAGGGTTCCGTACACAAAAGATAAAAACGAGACCCAATTAATTTCTGTTTGTCAACAGGCTGTGTCTTACCATGATAGATATAACAGTTGAAATTTTCACAGATGATGTAATTTCTGTAGCCGCTAAAACAACATATACATACAAGAACAAGATAAAATAAATATTTAAGGTGCTCCCATACAAGTACAACAAATGTGAATTTTGGCCGTTTTTTGCTCAATATTAACAGGGAGACGCTTAAAATATTCACATGGTATTTAGTTGTATATTTACTTCAAATAAATAATTAAATTAAAGTAAATATTTAATGGAGGCTACCATGTAGCAACAAAAGCGTCGTATGGAACCCTTCCTGGGTGTTTTTATACATCTCGATTCCACGCGCCGTTATCACTGGTAAAAATATAAACATGGTCTTCCTGATAGTAATACATACCTATAATTGACAGCCCTTAGTTATTGACTGTGATAACGAATGCTATTTAATGCTGGTCAGTTCATTTATGATATCACTTTCGCGGTATTCATTCTTCGGCATTGTTCATTGGCGCCCGTGCCATGATGATTATTACAAACATAATATTTTACTTACTGTGGGCAGTTCTCGCGGACTGTGCTAGTCTGGTCCGAAAGGAAGATTTGATTAGGACCAAACGTTTGGTCATTGGAGAGTATAATGAACTAGAGCTTTCTGGAAAAAGTGTGCGCCTTCCCGTGCCGGCTCAAGCACAGACGCTGGCCTACTCCTGCGGGCCCACGGCTGCCTACGCCATGCTGCGATTCTGGGGAGTGCAGCGTGAAACATTGTCACCGTCACTTGATTCGGTGTCGGGCAACAACTGCGTTGACGCATTAATACGAGCAATGAGCAATGAAAACTTTTCGCCCATACAACCTGGAACATATCCTGATAACTTTGTCGAGGGGATCAACAGACGGATTCAGGGATTGAATCTAAACAACCGGAGATTTTACCAAGGTATCACCTTGCTGCCGAGTCTGTACACTTCGAATCCGGAACGACCCTGGAATGATTACAGTGGCAGATCGAGTATATATTTAAGAATTGCCAGATTTGTTTACGACAGCCTAATGAATGATGCTCCAGTAGCGTTTGGATTTAGAGGCAGGTTTTCCATTTACGAAAGTGAGCGGGACCATTTTATAGTAATAACTGGGATTGATATAAGTGAACGAGATGAAGTGACATTTTACTATATGGACCCAGATGGTGGTGTTCAGAGGAGTTTCCGTCATACACAGTTGAATACATTGTTGGTGAGAGGTGGGGTGTTGATAGTGCACCGACCCGGTGTTATGGTGCCAATGATCCCACCTAGACCTACACCAGGGGCGAGTACAACAAGTTCGCCTGGCTCTGGGCACGATTATTGTACTTCTATGGTACAGACCGAGGCTGCCACTGGTGCAGTTGGAGGCGCGATAGGAGGAGCTATATTTGGGTCCGCATTTTTGCCCGGCATCGGCACCGCGATTGGCGGAGTGGTGGGTGCTCTTAGCGGCTCCGCTATTTCGGCCGGCGTGGGTGCTACAGTAGCATGTTAATTATAACCTTTTGCTTTTACTTTTGTGTCATTCTTTATTCGCATTGTGTCAATGATTAAAAATGAGTATACGTAAATTTTTGTTTGTTTTATTTTAACATTTACCCAATCAAAAGTATCTAGGGAAATATAAGCATATAACACTGTTTTACATTACTGTAATTACCTAGGTAGGTACTAACTTACACAGGAAAATTAAGTAAATAATCTAGTGTCAACTATACACAAAACACAAATAATGGCAAAACTCTTATCCCACACACACAGACACAAATCCCGTGACCACTTTAATAATTAAACGACTTACAAAATAAGTAGGTAAAAACTTGCACCAAAATTACTGAAAACTTCGTTAAAAATTAACACCAACTAATAAAATGTAGTAATATAGTGAATCTTAGAGTAGGCGCACGCGCACACAGTTGATTTTTAGTTGGCCGATAGTTGTACCCGATTATTTGTATGAAGAATCGGCCAAATCGAATCGGCGTAGGTACTTAGTGTGCGCACTCCCATACATGCCCATAGGTACTGATCAACTGCCCGACTAAACTATCGGCCGACGAAAAATCAACGGTGTGCGCCTACTCTTAGAATGAGAACTGTGACATTATAATAACATTTTCGCCAATTTATGCCTAAGTGATAAATATTATGATAAAAAATGTTGAAAATGCGTTTTAAGGTTTTCTAAATTAAAAATTAAAAGTTGTAAAGTATGGTAATAACATCCTTCATTTTGGACGTTAAATCGAGCCCTCGAATTACAAAATGAGTAATGTGCAAATTAATTTTAATTTTCAAATTAAATGTTACACCAGAGCAGAGTACCTACCCAGTGTTACTGAGAAATTGCCGACCAAGCCATGGACATTGGACAAATATTTGTCCACAAACAATGTAGTCAGAGTGCAACAAAAGATTAATAAATACTGAAAGTACTGTATTTACACCAGTAAAACATGTTTCTACATAAACAAAATAAAACAGTTCGGGCCTTTTCACTTCAAATCGATGAGTTTTATTGGATGCATTTATTTATACATTAGTGAACATTATACATGATAATCGCTTCGCCACAGCAATACATGGAACACTCGGGCACCAATTTAATCTCATTTAATTGAAACCTGATGTAAATGAATTGGGTGATCATTGTAAATACACAAATGTTCCAATTCGAACAGTAATGAGCTGTACAGAATATTAATTCGTGACGTGGTGTCGCTCAATTGAAATTTTAAATTGATTTATTTAACATACAGGTGATGCTATGTAAATGTAGTAAATTAATTATTTGTGGACTCATTTTGGTCTAAAGATTAGATTGTAATGATGGGCCTATTATAGAAACTAATACCTACTTAGTTGAAAAAAGTATGTGAGTTGCCTTTTGGAACAGCTATTATTACCAGATTATAAATGACCAATGGTCACTTTTTCTAACACGTAAATATGATCAATGGACGGCTACAATCTCTTCACTCCTTAAACTGATCATCATCATTATCAGTCTAAAGCAGTCCACTGCTCACCCACGGATATACTGAAATACCTACCTAAATCCGTAACCGTTTTATATCCTAATAATTGAGATTGAGATACGCAATACATGGAAAAAAAGTTCATCTAGATGATAATTGGATATCTGAATGATTAGTCGTCCTTTAAGATTTACCTTCACCACGTACCCAGATGTAGACAAACAACAATAAAGTAGAATCCTTTCCGTATACATTTTTCTCAAAAATCCGAAGCTAGAAATGACAAAGTGCCCACATGTACTCACAAGAATATGTCACACATTCATAACAAGTTTGTCTCGAATGTGTTACAAGTTCACAGCTCTCGGTTCAAGCGGTTCGTATCGTGGCATCCAGTTTCGCGATGTTGCTCGGTCGACTGTAACTTTTTTGTTTTCCTAGACCGCGGCGGTTTTTTAATTTGTTGAATTTCGTTGGCGTATGCGTTCTATTGAATATTGAACGCTGTGAGTCATAGAGCTGAACAAACCTCGTCTGAATGTAAGCTGCTTTGTCAACCACCATGCGTTTGACATCAGGACAGGAACCGTAAAAACAAAGAATTAGTAGCCGTCAATTAGTCATCATCATTTCAGACAGAGGACGTCCACTGCTGAACATAGGCCTCCCTCAATGATTTCTACAATGGCCGGTTGGTAGAGGACTGCATTCAGCGCCTTCCTGCTACCTTCTGTCAATTAGTGCCCTGTGTTAATTTATAAACATGAAAGAATGGGATTTATGAATGAATAACGGGACATCGTTGGTGCTATGATTTATGTACGAATAAGGCAGCAACACGTGTCTCCTAATATCAATGATTTCATGAATAGATATTCAAGATCAAAGATTAACATTCCATTAATCATGAAACTTCATGATCAAATAAAGATTTGGAACTAATACTCAACTCGCTCTTTCTTACTCCGAATTCCAGCCAAGCCAATGTTATTCTCAATGGATATCAAAAATAAATACCGAGTATTTTTCCTCCAGTTACGAATTCTATAAGCGTCAAACTACAAAGCTTTAAAACATTAATTTCTCGTGCAGATAACCATTTTATCTTCCATTAGTCCTAATTATTCGTCTCAAAGAACATTGAAAAAAACATCAAAGAAGAAGGAGCCCGTAATTGTTTTGTTAAGAGAAAAAAGGCCTAAAACTGACTTAATTAAATGTTCAGATGAACTGGGATGGAAATTAGTAGGTTAGGTTATTTTTCAGAGTATAGACTTTCCTCATATTTTCCGATTGAGAGAATCGATTGGCTCAAAAGAAAGTGGGACGGTCGTGAGTTGAAGTCCTACCTGAGGCAGTCAATTTGGTCAAGTGAAGTCATGTGTGAAATGTAGGTAGGTACTTTCTTCCTTTTACTCGTGTAGGTAAGATAAGGTAAGATTAGTAACTAATATTACCGTGGATAAGTCATTTTGATAAAAACAAAAATATTCTACCTAACTTGATTTTGCCGTATACTTATTCTTAATTGAATACCTAGCATGGTCGTTGTGGAAATCCTTGGGGGGAGGCCTTTGCCCAGCTGTGGATTTCATTTGGCTAAAACGAACGAACGTAAGGTACTTTACCTTCTGCTTAAAATCACTGGTTTCCGAAAGCTTTTAATTTAAAACATTAGCTCACGGCAGCCTGTAGCCAACCTGGTCGTTTGTTAGCGCTCGAATTCACTCTAATTTTATCCAAGTTTCAAAATTAATATGCCTAATTTACTGAAAAACTTCGGGAACACCTAAATGTTCATTCAAAAGTCTAAAGTTTAGACTTTAAACCAAAGGAAGAAAAATTAGTGTACTTTTGGAACATTCCGAAAATGTACTAGCTTTTTACTTTGGCTTTTGGCGAATTTCTGTCACAGTAAGTCTATCGCACGCGTATCCACCTACCAATCACCGGGATAAAAATTAACAGATATTTTTCCTTGTGTCTCAAACTTTCAACATACCAAACTTCATCTTAATCGGTTCTGTTCAGGTTCGTGAATCACACTTCCATCTTCACAAACTTTCACTTAGAATATTAGTAGGAAAAGCCAAGGAAGGCACCTACTTCTAAAATTCTAAAAGTATATGCTAAAAACATAATAAAGAATATCGTACGAAAAAGGTCTCTAGAAAAACTGAAGTTTATGGACATATGCCAACGTCAGTTCACAGCAGGACGCCATATACCACCATGTCCGTCGTTTTTTCCAACCGCCATCGCGAGTAAATTGGCGTTTAACGGTGTTCGTAAATTTTAGTACAGTAGAATCTCGATTATCCGGACTTCGATTATCCGGATATCCGATTATCCGGACTCATCCTTCACGGTTTCTTATTAGCGATTTAGGATCTGGACCCATAAAAACGGAAGGCGCCGCCACCGTAACATGATACGGACGTCATCTTAGTTCATTGTTAAACGAAATGGATGACCAATGGTCTAAAATTTAGATTTTTAGACTCTAAAATGATGTATTGAAAACCTTTTCTATTGTAAAAAGTTAATTATTGTTTGATTTTACTTTGAAATCGATTATCCGGATTTTCGATTATTCGGAACACCTCTGGTTTTAATTGATCCGGATAATCGGGATTCTACTGTATACGTAGTTCTATCCGCTGACAGTTCGTCAATGACATGAACCGACGTTCGATATTTAAAATTCGAAAATTTGGGTTTTTATGACTTAACTACCCGCCCACTCTTCCCCTGGATGTCGTAAGAGGGTCTCATCAGGCCTCGTGAGGAGTATAGATCAAATTTTCTATTTGCTTCTGGCAAAGAATTTTGTTTTTACAGAGGAGACTACAAGCTACGTTGCTATTTGCTAATTCTTGCCTATTCCACACCGAAAAACAAATTAAACTCACAAGATTCCGTTTCTAAACACAGAGAACAATTCATTTTTGTCAATCAAATAATGTCAAAAGGCACAAAAGAAACTTTGACAATGGCTTAATTAGGTTTGATAGAAAACGAACTTCATTGTCCGCGAAAAGAAATTATTATTTTAATATTGAAGGGCCCGGACGGTTTAAATTATTCTTGTCAATTATGAGACTCCAGAATAATATGCCGGCGAAAACTGTTCGTAATAACTTTCGTAAAGATTTTTGCAAAATAAGGTTAGTTACGTATACAGGGTACATAAAAAAGCTATCCTTGAACTTTATTTTTGAAAATTGACAAAAAGATTCATAAAAAATGTTTTGAAACTTTTTGTTACGAGAAGTAAATAAGTTTCTAATTCAGATATTTATTTTCATCACCATATTGTTATACATAATTACATTCAGAATGCTTTTCAGTACCTTAATATCCAAATAGTCTTGCTCTAGCTAGATATTAAAACTTAAGACATCGACTCTGGATCGCTTATCATATTTATTTTTCTAGATTCACATAAAACACTTGAATTAAGTTGAATTATTAATCTCCTTAATTGATCTCTCATTCCCACATTTCTGGACTGTATACAACAGATAATTACATAAGCCGGTTAGTAATTGTCCACCTTGCTAATGCACTATCAGTAGATTGATTGGTTCCAATGGGTGTGTAAAATCAATCAGACGCATGCCTATTAAATGGTTTACCTTAATAACATTAGGCGATGCACTAATTGATTTGTAACAACAGGATTCAACGTAATCTGCTTGTGTCAAATACCGTAGTCACATGCTAAAGGTAGAGGATACTCAAGAGTCTCAAGTCGTAGTTCGACTTCCAGGTAGGACATCATAACATAAAAGTAACATATTATGTAATACATAGCTTGGTGTTTTTGTACTTTATTTAATTGAGAATTAGGTATGATTATAAAATTGTACCAATGACACCACTCCTGTACTAAATTGTATAATACGGTCTTACCTACAGTCTTGTAGTTCATTTTTAATGTAGCTATTGGTTTTTTTATACAGGTGTAAAGTTTGTTGTTTTGTATAGTCTGGTCGGTCCATCAAATGTTGTCCATCAACCATCGAATCTTCCATCTTACTGTGTAAAGTCAGAAGTACTCAGATCCGAATCATGTAGGATATTTTTGAACGTGCTACTAGCTGTCATTCCTGTGCTCTGTAAAGTCAGTCCAACTAGGATCTTGTAGGAAAATGTTCAATGTGTACTAGTTAGTATCTTTCCCATACTGCTGCAAAGTCAGGCCAACTCGGGAGCTAATTGGAATCGCCTAATGACGGGCAACACGACACGACCCAAATTAGCTTTGTCGTCAAAGCGCGCGCGCAGCTGTGGCTCGCCGCTAAACTTCAGCCTCTTCTGTTGCTGACAACGAATTTTGTTTCAGTGTGTACATTTTCCCTTGATTGACCCTTCCACGAAAACAGCTTTCTAAAATACCTTAAGGTCTTAGGACGTTAAACGTATAATTTTATACTTTAAACTAATTTTAAGTAGGCGTTAAAAGGAATGGTAGGTAATTGAAGATTGATGACACGTATTTTACTGTAAGGTATTTTTTAAAATATAAAGGATTTTTTTTCATTACACCTAAAAAAAATTCGTTTGATTGTACATTTTTTTATTTCAGTTGTCATTTACGAGTGGTCCCAGTTGCCGGTAGAATATTATTTATTTTTTACGGATCCGGCGACTGGGACCGCGGTCCTAGTTAATTGCGTTACCCGGAAGCCTCGTGCCTATGTTTAGTTGTAGATTTAATAGTATGCAAGGTAAAAAAAAACAAAAGTATTAAAAAAACAGTTGCCCAAAGAAAACAGAGTCCTCCAACGCTTGTCATACCACTTCCAACTTTTCAAATATCGAATGTAACTTTTGAAGCAGGTGAGAACTCGGCGTTCAATTCCGGCGGTTCGGCGTCCGGCGTGGAGTGTTGGCCAAATACTGAGTCCAATTCCGCGGCCAATATCCGCGGTTCGGGCCAATATGACTTATGAGAACCGTAAGTACTAGGTACTCGATATCTGCCTTCGATGGGTTTTATGTAGAACGGGCCTGAATTTAAGATGTTTGAAAAGTGTGTATTGTGTGGAGAAATATGTGGGATAATAGAATTTTACTATTCTAAATATTAAATGTCAATTTAACTTTCCCCCGGACACACTTGACCTTCACTGGTCGGTCAAGCTGTAGATCCAGGCTAGCAGCGGTGGGAACGAGTCAAAAAAACGTGATGTGTTGCCTGTTAAGAAATTGTAAACCTGAAAAAATCCTGTTATATCATTTAAGCCTTCATCCTGCAACCAAGAAAATTCAATATTTTTTAGGCAAGTNGAGAGGTAAATAAGTAGTTAATATTATTCATGATAATTCATGCTAAATCATGTATTTCCTCCGCCATTTTCTGCAGATTGGCACCTCACGTCACATCATTTTACCGAAGTCAGCCCTATAGCTTCGGCGCAGTACCGATCACTGACGTTTGTCAACAAAACTTCTGACAAACTTGCTTGACTCTTGAGACAAGCTAAATTACACCATATTGTTAATGACATTGAGCATACATTTTTTTAAATACCTTCGCGAAGTAAAACTTCTGTACGTAGTACTTATTATTATTCTGTGGTGCTGCGTTGTTATAACGGAGAGGCAACGCCTTCGAAGCTATCGTCTGCTGTAAGCTGAGTCGTTGGAATAAGCAGCGTTGCGTTGTGGAAGTGTGGCACTCTGTGTGTTAATAATAATGGAAAAAATAACTTTTGTGTAAACTAAATAATATAGAAACTGATGAATGTATTGGTCGGCAGGCGTCGGCGTTCAACTCGTGGTTCGAGAACGCGGAGGAGGACCTGACGGACCCGGTGCGCTGCAACTCCATCGAGGAGATCCGCGCGCTCAAGGACGCGCACGCACAATTCCAGGTATATTGTTGTAAATCTTCTAAGCTGTTATTGTTTTGTCCATTTTTGTCAATCTAAAGCAATTTAAATTCTTTTAAGGTCAAATTTTTAAAAAGTTTTCTTCTCTCTTTCATGCCTTTGTTGTCCAGTAGGCTTAGGATGCACACCACGATACCGAGATTATCGCGCCATTTTATCGATTATACGCGATAAGCCCATACATTTGTCGTCTAAAATCATCGATAAGATTTTATCACGGCGCATATCTTAATCCTTTCTGTCACAAAACCTATTTTTTTTAAATATGGCTAGTCGATTATTTTATTTTAATAGTTTCAAGAAATAAAGGTTTATTGATTGTTCATTCAGTACAATTTCGAGAAATTTCTTGCGGAAATTAATACTTGTGTAACTAATCTAATCTTTGTGGCATACTGGTACTAATTTCACACAAGTCGTCTTAGTAAAACCTGTTCGTAGTTTAATCACTTGTGTATTTTACCTTTACCCTCTGTTCTTCCCCAGGCGTCGCTATCATCAGCGCAAAGCGACTTCGAAGCGCTGGCAGCGCTGGACGCGCAGATCAAGTCGTTCAACGTGGGCGCCAACCCCTACACCTGGTTCACCATGGAAGCGCTCGAGGAAACCTGGCGCAACCTGCGCAAGATCATCGGTAAGCCACGCCCACTGACACGCCCCTTTTACTGGACTACGCCTACTGTGTCTTGTGTGAATGAAAAAAATAAGCTAATGTGAATCCATGCTCAACAAAAACTATAGGAAAGAATTTGAATAATATTCATAGATGGCTGATAAAGATTAACGACTCTAAACCTTCTCTAACCTTCTAAATGTACATGTTTTCAAAAGGAAACATAATTTTATTTCAATTCTAAGCCGTCGCGTCCGTAGTTTTAATTCCGTCCATGATGAAATAATGAGTAATTGGTAATATTGAGTATTGATCCATTTTTAACAGTACATTAGTCTGCATGCTTATGATGTTTTATGGGTCTTCCTTCTGTATTTATAATCAAGACATGTCTCGAAAGGGGTTATGTATAGTGCGAATGTTTTGAAAAAACAATCATCAATAGAGCTTCAAAAATCATGCTTATACAAAGTTGATGAATCACTTGAACATTACTCTATAATAAAAACTTGTTTCCCGCAGCCGAGCGCGACGTAGAATTGACAAAGGAAGCGCAGCGGCAGGATGAGAACGACAAGCTTCGTAAGGAGTTCGCCAAGCACGCCAATGCCTTCCACCAGTGGCTCACAGAGACACGGTACGTACCGCTAGTATACCCTTGCGACGAAGTAGCTACCCAGGTCCAACTCATTGCTTTTACAATGGGAAATGCTTTGGGCATACCCGCTGATCGTCCCCATCCTAAGGCGTACCCAGCTTCTAGCCTAGGGGCAAGTCATATCCAGCTTCTGCAGCATTTTTAGGACAGATAATTCGGCTTTTATCCCCTGTGGGTACGCCCATGTCCCCATCGTCCTCTCCTCGCTAGGAGGGCGGGGCCTGCCCACTAAAACCCGATTATGTCCACCGGAGCCCAATGAAACGGAGCCGCGAGTTATTGTCCTAATTTGGACATTGGACCAGTTCCAACTCTGTCCTGAGTTATAACAACTCTCGTCACTGATGTATCAATGGACCAATCAGGGTAATGATTAAAGAGGAGGTACTAAAACTGAAGCGATTTTATATCAATTGAACCAACTACGTATCATCATCTCTTCATTATTGGTCTTTAAAACTATCTATAACATTAAAGATTAAGTCTTAATGAATCTAACAATTTTAAAACATTGATAAGTATTTGAACTGATGCTTGGTGTACAGGTACCGACTTCTAGGCTGGGACGGGTAAAGTACAGAATGTCGAGTGTTACTTGTACTAAAAAGCTTGTAAAAAGCTTCGTTTTGGCATGACAAAGTTGTTTCTACGACAAAAAATAAACTTCGTTTATGCCGAAACAATATTTGTTGTAAGCACATCGTACGTCCTAGATGTTCTTCAATGCAGCATTAACTAAAATTGCCTCCGATTCTACCACAAAATATTAATGTCTGAATACAACTACTACTAAGCTAACTTTAATGTGAGTGCTTTAGTTTTGTTAATTATACTAATTTCACTAAAACTTACCAGACACACGATTAAGAATCGAACTTTTTTAAAATATGATGTGTGGGGGGTCAGGTTCGCTCCGATGTAAAAATAACGCCGTTTTAAATGTTCACAAAACAGTTTATTGCGAGTATTTGTAAGTTTAGTACACTTTTGGGCAAACACGTGTTTCTTGCGCGCGGTAGGCTAACGCGGTGTCGCTCCGAGGGCGTTTGGCAGCAGACTGGGAGACGCGTGAAATTGTGTGCGAATAAAACTGCCGCGTCGCGTACCAAACCAACGACACCGAGTTACCCTCCAATAGAAAATAAAAATTGTTCTTAAACTACCGTTACATAATACAATAATATTCCGTCGCTAACACTCCCCACCCCAGTGCTGGCACAGCACTAATCAATTAAAGGGATCCTTGCGACGCGCGCTGCAGACCTCTTCAGCGTACCTGACTTGGTTCTTAGTTCAACCACCCTTACTCGACCGTCTGCCCCTGGGAACACCTGCTGAACTACTGCCTTGGGCCACACGTTGCGTGGCGCTCCTGGATCCACAATTAGAACCAAATCACCTACCTTCAACGACTGTTGTTCCTGGTTCCACTTGCGTCTCGGTACGAGGTCTGGGAGAATTTCGTTGATCCAGCGTTTCCAGAACATATCTGCAAGTAGTTGAGACTTACGCCACTGTTTGCGCAGGTACAGGTCATCGCTGCTGAACCTTCCGGGAGTTGGAAGATTCGAAGAAGTTCCAAGCAAGAAATGGTTGGGTGTTAGTGTCTCGTCGCTGCCAGGTTCCACAGAGACATGAGAGAGAGGACGACTATTGACGATGTTCTCGACTTCTGTAAGAAGAGTACTCAAAACCTCGTCCCTAGGTGCACGTTCCTTCAAGATGATTTTAAGTGAAGTTTTGATGCTTCGTATAAGTCGCTCCCATGCCCCACCCCAGTGTGGACTCGCAGGTGGTATGAATGTCCATTCAGTTGCGTTGTTTGCAGCTTCAGTGCGGAGCACTCCTTCGTCCAGTTCCTTGATCGATCGTTTGAGTTCTGTGTCAGCTCCTCGCAAGTTAGTCCCGTTGTCTGACATCAGATGTCGCGGCCAGCCGCGGCGCGCTGCCATGCGCCTGAGTGCCATAATCAACGAATCTGTGCTGACTGAATGGACTATTTCTAGGTGGACAGCGCGCACCGTAAGACATGTGAAAATTACACCATACCTTTTCTCATGTCGACGGCCAACTGTCACGGTCATTGGGCCAAACAGATCAATCCCACAATGAGTGAATGGACGTTGGTGGTGAGCTACGCGGGCGGCAGGTAAGTTACCCATCCTTGGTATTTCGGGCTTAGCCTTCCTTATTCTGCATACCATACATCGCGATGAGACATATTTAACAGTTGGTCTCAATTTTATAATCCAAAATCTTTGTTTCAGATGGTTGACTACCGACTCTTGGTTGCCGTGAGCAGCCTTCTCGTGGTAGTGTTTCACTATCAGACGAGCGACGTGGTGTTTTCCATCTAAAATTACAGGCCTTTTAGTTTCAGGTGAGACTCCGGTGGCGGCGTCAATGCGGCCTCCGCAACGCAGCACGTCGTGTTCATCGAGCATCGGTGACAAGGTAAGTAGTCGACTGTTATTTTCTATGCGTTTTCCTTTCTTTATTGCAGATATTTCCGAGGCGAAACTATCCAACTGCGCTTGTTTAATCAGAAACCGCTCAGCTAGGTCCATGTCTGATAACAGGCTCGACGATGCAACCTTCCTGCATTTATTAATAAAGCGCAACACGGTAGCCATCACTCTCACCAGCTTCAACCATGATGAAAATCTACTAACGTCGAGTATAGGTAAGTTGTTACTTTCCTGTTTAATTAAGTTTATTCTCTCCAGGTCACTGTCACATAAAGCAGTGAAATCACGGCGCGGCCAAGTAGTCTCATCTCCGTATAAAAATGAAGGTCCCGTGAACCATTCATTTCTAAACACCGTGACGTCATAAGTTTCCCTAGTACCAACGTCAGCGATATTCAACTTCGTAGGCACATACCTCCACTCAGTAGCTCGCGTTAAGTCATCTATTTCGCCGAGCCGGTTTGCTACGAATGTTTTATATTGCCGCGTGTCATTGTTAATCCACTGTAGCACTGTGGTCGAGTCGCACCAAAAATACCTTTGTTCGACTTTCATGCGTCCGTGCTCCTCAGCGATTGTCTTTGCGAGTCTAGCCGCTAACAAGGCGGCCTGCAGCTCCATTTTAGGTATCGTAGTCGGCTTTAACGGAGCAACCCGGCCCCGGCTAGTTATAAGCGCGATGTGTATGTTTCCATTGTGTTCCCATCTCCAGTAGGCTACGGCACACATCGCCTTCGATGAAGCATCGCTAAAAACATGCAATTGCAAATTATTATAATTATTACCAGTCGTAGACCCGTTCGTAGCATGGCCCGTAGCACACTCGTTATCCGTAACGCGTTCACTGACTCGATGCCGCGCAGAATCTCGTAGCAGCGGCGTAGGCGATGCACTATCGGTCTCCCTCTCACTCGTAGTAAACGCAGACTCCGTCTCGCTCGCACCGGCCCTTACATAATAACGTGGAATGCGTATACTTGGTATTTCTTTTAAAAGATCAATCCAGCTGCACCATTTTTGATAAACATCGTCTGAGATTATTTCGTCCCAGCCAATGTTATGCCTCCAGGTATCCTGAAGCATTATTTTGCCCTGTATGGTGAATGGAGTAAGAAAACCAAATATATCAAAAATAGACATGACTACGGCAAGCATCAAACGTTTAGTCGGTCTTTGTTTACCTTTTACAATGCCGTCGGGAATACGTTTCAATGAAACGTCAAAACCTAATTCATCTTGGGCCGGGTACCAAATCATTCCCAGCGTTCGCTCGCCTTGGTATTGTTCGTTAGATTTAAACTTAACGGCCGCGTCACCTAAGGTCTCCTTTGGCAAGCTATCTAACACCTGTAGGCTATTACTAGTCCAGTTGCGGATCTCAAAACCACCCTTCTTGTGAATATCCGTTATATTCCGTGCCATACTTATGGCTGTGGTTTCATCCGGTAGACTATCTATATAGTCGTCCATGTAGTGCTGCGTGTAGATAGCGGCTGCGGCGGCGGGCTGTGATGACTCATGCAGCTGCGCATTTTTGTTTTTAATAAACTGCGCGACGAACGGCGAACAGTTTGCTCCAAATATCAGTGACGTCATTGAATACGTCTTTATCTCACCTGAAGATTCATCCCTCCATAAGAANTGCCCTGTATGGTGAATGGAGTAAGAAAACCAAATATATCAAAAATAGACATGACTACCGCAAGCATCAAACGTTTAGTCGGTCTTTGTTTACCTTTTAAAATGCCGTCGGGAATACGTTTCAATGAAACGTCAAAACCTAGTTCATCTTGGGCCGGGTACCAAATCATTCCCAGCGTTCGCTCGCCTTGGTATTGTTCGTTAGATTTAAACTTAACGGCCGCGTCACCTAAAGTCTCCTTTGGTAAGCTATCTAACACCTGTAGGCTATTACCACACTATTACTAGTCCAGTTGCGGATCTCAAAACCACCCTTCTTGTGAATATCCGTTATATTCCGTGCCATACTTATGGCTGTGGTTTCATCCGGTAGACTATCTATATAGTCGTCCATGTAGTGCTGCGTGTAGATAGCGGCTGCGGCGGCGGCACGGCGGGCTGTGATGACTCATGCAGCTGCGCATTTTTGTTTTTAATAAACTGCGCGACGAACGGCGAACAGTTTGCTCCAAATATTAGTGAAGTCATTGAATACGTCGTTATTTCACCTGTAGATTCATCCCTCCATAAGAACCTTAAAGCCGATTGGTCTTCAGGTTTTATTTTAATGCGTAGGAACATGTCTTTAATGTCCCCGGTGACTCCAACTTTATTTATTCTAAAACGTATCATGATGCCAAATTGGATGAGCGTAATTATACGTTAAATCATAGTTAAGGGGGCAAGAGGGGAGCAAAGAACAAGTGGACTGTATCTAAATTATTTTGCGGGGTTTTCAATAAAGCGGAGTCTACAAAGAAGTGTAGGTANAAATAAAGAATTTAGTAGGTCAGGCCCTGTGAGTAGGAAATCATTCAATGACTCACCATAGACTTTAGCGGCCGCATCGAACACGAGTCGCAACTTTTTTTTATTAGGATTATTTACCCCAAAATGGGGTAAATACCAAGTTCTTGGCGACCGTTCGGTATTTTGCGTTTCTTGGGCAAAATTATTTTCTAGCAAGTGTTTTACACGCTCCCTGTACCTACTCGCGTACTCCTGGTCAGCTGACATTTTCCTCTCAACGCTGTGCAGTCGGGAAAGTGCATTAGGGTAACTGTCAGGTAACTTACAGTTTGGGTCCTTCCACGGCAAGTTGACGTGCCACCTGCCGTCAATGAGCTGCGCACCCTCGTCCAGCATGGCCACCGCGCGCACCTCGTCTTTGTTCTGTCGTGGTTTACCTGTCACTCCCAAAGCATCTATAGAAAAGGAGCGCCGCACCTCATCACTGAGGTCCCGAAGAGCACGTTCATCATCAGACGCTGATGCTGAAATGAGTAAGGTGGTGTAGGGAGAAGAAGAACCAGCGCACGGCAAGTGCATTACTCCGTGCACGCACCAGCCCAGGGGGGTTCGTGTAGCTGACGGCTCATTGTTTTTACCAACATAAATCTCTAAAGGCATTAACAAATGATAATTGTCTTGACCTAATAATATTTCTGGCTTACACAAATCATTACAGTTTATAGTTACATTTTTCAAATGATCATACTCTTTACATTTAGCTAGTGAAAACTCTTGAACAGGCAAATCTAAGTTATCAACACTTCGCAAATTAATTGTAAACAATCTGTTATCACTTCCCTTACTAGACAAGTCCAGAGTGAGCGCTGTCGACGCGCACACAAGCGCATCGTCGCCCCACGCGCCGCGCACACGCATGGGCTCGCTGCGGCCGCCGCGCAGCCCTGCGCGCGCAGCCAGCTGCGAGCTTATCACTGATATTGTAGACCCGTCGTCTAATAACGCACACGCACTTATTTTACCGTTAGGACCGTGAATTTCGACCGGCACTACTTTCAACAGCACTTTTTTGTCCGTAACACTCATATGGGCCACAGTCTCGGTAGTTGACGTACTCGATGAGGTCTTCTTGCTCTCGGCGGTCGCCTCGGCCCCGTGCCGCTGCGGAGGGTTGTGTAACAGCCGGTGATGCGCCCCGCCGCAGTCGTCTTGATCGCAAGCGGGCGCAGTGCAGTTATCTCTGCCGTGCCGCGATAGTAGGCATTTAAAACATAAGCCGTATCGCTTGACGTGGCGCCATCGATCTTTGCGTAATGCTTTCTTGAATGATTTGCAACTTGTCAGCTGGTGTTCATCTTGTTTACAAAAGTTGCATTTTTCACTATGCTCGCTCTTAGCGTCGGAGTGTTGAAGTAGTATACTTTGTGAGTTTCTAGCGTTACTTTCGTGCTGCCTGTATTTGTTTTGATTGTAACGTTGAGCTGATGTAGTAACGTTGGCCGTGGTTGACATTTTTAGTGCCTCCTCGTGAAGGAAATCAGAAATCATGTCAATTCTTGACTTATCAATTTCTCCTTTCAATCTAGGGTAACAATAATCCGCCCATTTGGAAACTAGTACAGTGGGCAGCTTGGCCAAAATAATATTCGCTAGGTGAACACCGCGTAGGTATTCGTCACGCCCCACTGCACGTACTGCTGTTACGTAATTCTGGATTTTAACAGCAAAAGGCACTATTTCACTTTGATAATCCAATGGCAACGGTGGTAACTTCTGTACATCTTGCGTGATTTTAGTTAATATAAAATCTGGGTTACCAAATCTGAGCTCCAATGTAGACATCAGCTGATCGGGTGACGTTGCACAAATCAATAATGCAGATACAGCTTCTTTTGCAGGTCCTCGAAGACATTTTCGAAGCCTCCAGACGTTTTCCTTATCAGTGAAGCCGCATATTTGTGTTGACTCCTCGTAGGACTGTTTAAAGTGAAGCCACTCCAGGGGGTCTCCAGCGAACTCAGGTAAGTCCTTTGGGATGCTCATACGGCTCAGTAGTTGCGGGTTGGGTCCATGAATGGGAGTAGTGGCTAGCTGCTTCAGTGCGCTCGTCAGCATCTCGATGGCACCATTTTGTGGATTCAGCTCGCCCGGGGGTTTACCATTGTGGGGGGCTCGCTGCTCCTTCTCCATCTCATGCTGGCTGTGGTCCAGCCACTTCTCGACGTCGGTGCGAGTATGAATGCTCTCGCGGTCTCCATTTGGTGGACTGTATTCATCTTCCAGGTCAGCTAGGTCTGCTTCTAGCTTTTTATCGATCAACTCCATCTGTATCCTGGCCTTTTCCTTCGCTGCCTCAAGTTCCAACCGTTTTCGCCTTGCTTTAGCTGAGGATGACGTCGATATTCGTGACGTGAGGTCTCGTGGTGCTTCCTCAGGAGACAGGTCCAGTTTGTGAACTGATATGTGCGACGGTCCTGCCTCTGCGGTCGGTTGACGTGTCGGGTGTGGCCACTGACACGACGTTGCATGCTGCGGTGGCACTTGTGACGTTTTCACGGGCTCGGATTTTACACTGCCTTTGAGATGAGTATCGTTCATTGTCTCGGTATGCACACTTGCGGACACCAGTTTTTTACGGTCACTACGCGTGAGAACCATTTTACTCGTACAACGTGGCGAATGATACATCGGACTGATCCGGCCGAATGACCAGCTGTGGGGGGTCAGGTTCGCTCCGATGTAAAAATAACGCCGTTTTAAATGTTCACAAAACAGTTTATTGCGAGTATTTGCAAGTTTAGTACACTTTTGGGCAAACACGTGTTTCTTGCGCGCGGTAGGCTAACGCGGTGTCGCTCCGAGGGCGTTTGGCAGCAGACTGGGAGACGCGTGAAATTGTGTGCGAATAAAACTGCCGCGTCGCGTACCAACGACACCGAGTTACCCTCCGATAGAAAATAAAAATTGTTCTTAAACTACCGTTACATAATACAATGATATTCCGTCGCTAACAGCAAGTGTACTTAAGTACGCAAAAGTTTTTCAGGCAACTGTACTTCGCATTGAAACCTTAACAAGCTTTTCATTATAGGCCACACGATATTAATCTACCAAATTAAAATTCCTTAACACCCTTACAAATTCGAAATTAAGTAATAACGGTTTAATAACACCGTCATTCCGGCATCATCAATCATTACCGTAACTATCCCACGGTTCGACCAATCAGATGCGATTTACGCAAAACAATTAAAAAGATTAATATTGCGCCGTCAAAGTGAACCATTAATTCGTTTGCTGTGACGTCACTGCTGTCTGCGGTTGGCCTACGCCCCCCACCCCTCGCCCGTGGACTCCCTCCTGTCACCACAACTAGGGAACAGTCGGAAATTATCAGCCAGTTCACGAATGCATTGTAGCGAACCGTAGCGTACTGTAGCATCGTAGCCTACCGTAGCTCGAACAGTGTAACATGCAAAACTAGGTGCTGGGCATCATAAGTGTCTTACATTTTTACATGTCAGTGAGGCCCACGTGAGGCCCACAGCTGCGGCCCAAAATGGGCTCCGCCACCGATATAGGTTTTCCTATAGCGACCCAAATTGGGCCGTGTCACAGGCGAGAGGAAGAAAAGAAATCAAACAACTGATATTTCATGAGCAAAGTAGACACTAGGTGCGTCATACACGCAATGACGTGTAGACGAACGCACGAGTCCGCACGATCAACGCTACACAAGGTACGGATTCATTGAGAGAAATTCAGGCGTAGTAAGCATCAGTGTGGTCAATAGAAATAGCAATCCTATATCAGACAGATGTAGGTTACCAAGAACTTTTTACGTCACTCTCATCACTCTTTGTGGGCCATTCTAATAAGTATGTTGTGTGTAAAAAGATCCAAGGTTGAAGCTAACAGCAGTTTAGGAACAATGAAAGGCTCTTTCTTTAATCGTAAGATGAGTTTGAAGTGGCCCGAGTTGACTAAATAGCCCAATCAAATCAACAAAGCATTGTGAATTGATCTATATTGTCCAGGCTTTTATATTTAGGCTGTGTGGCCTTATTTTGTGTTGTCAAAAGTGTAATTTATCTGATATTAGTCCCGGTGGTTTGTACAACGTGTGATTGGCGTATTGCTATTGAACTGAATAGTAACATTTATTTGTGTTTTGGCAAATATGCCATTCATTCATATTCGAAATCGGATCAGTTATTAAAATTGTTTATGTTCGGGTTTACGTGCTTAATGGTTCAGTTAAGTCAGACAATAAGCCAAATATTTTTCATTTTTGTGTGAGCTGCTAGTTGATTAATTCAAATCAGATACGTATGAAAAGGCACAATGTTTAAAAGCGAACTCTTCCAGAAAACCAAGAACACAGTGGTTTGTTTTGCTAAACTATTTGATAGAATCGAGCTTCAATAGAACTTCGTCAATTTCCTACTCGCGTTGGAACTATTTTAATTATCATCAACATGTCATTTAGGTTCCACTGCAGAGGACAACCCTCTCTAACTTACCAGAGGCAAATGAAGGATTAATGCCCGTTTTCACCATCAATCCCTAATTTTTAAGTGACCCCCATGAAAACAAAATTCCTGTTATGTGTTACCATAGGGGTCACTTAAAAATTAGGGATTGATGCCGAAAACGGGCATTAATCTTCCACTCTCCATGAGACTGTTAGACGGGTAGGAAAGGCCTGTGTACCTAGGTACCATGAGTTTACATTAGGTGTGCTCGCTAGCGAATACGTCAAAAATCTCTATGAAGATTTTGTTTCTTAAAAGTAGCCGACAGGGGCGCTGCACAATATGTCATACAATTAATGTCATTTTTTTTACGCAGTCGCTAGCGAGCACACCTAACGTAAACTCATGGTAAGAACACTGATGTTCGCATATTAGACTCAGTCGCCTCTACTCCATTTTGAGCTGTATCAAGACCAAACAAAATCTATTATTTACACTCCACTTTCCGCGATCCTCAAAGGAATTAATCCAACATTATCTTTTCTATAAACCTTAAATGTACATAGCCAATAAAATCCAAAGCAGACGTTGGCAAACAAGACTTCTGCGGACAAACACATTAAGGCCGCTACACACTCCGTCGTTTGGTGTCGCAATGTTATAAATTACCCGCATTTTATGCCGTTACATTCGTGACAATAGCTCGCTCCAGAAATATTACGTTAAGGACATTACACTATCTTGTATTCAAACGCGAAACCATGTCATTTACATCTCGTGTTTATGTGGTACTCAGTAATCATTATTAGATTATTTCTCCTGCGTATTAAAGTTAAAAAACAGTACGTGGTATACTTTAATTATTGAATCAACTCATAAACAGTATTGGTTACACATGCAACATAACGCACAAGTTTTGCGTACGCATAATCTAACTAAATCATTCGTGTGTTAAACCTATAATGAGCGTATTAAATATTGTAAATCAATTCCATAATTTGTGGTATTCACAATTTAATTTATATTAATCAAATTAAAAGCTATCAAAGGCTTTTCAGCGGGCAATGAATAGGCAGAAACCTCACTAGGGACGATAACATTATGACATTTATGACGTAAGTGAGCAATATTGCCTCCAATATCGCTTCAGCATAGATCCAGTCTCAATAGTGTACCAGCGCCTTATTACCGCAAACAAAATAAAACTTTATACGTGCGAGTCTAAATTTTTTATGAGGTATACAGTATACAGTATACTGTTATCATCGGCCAACTTTTACGTTACACCTTTATTTCGGATGTTTTCTTCATATTTTACTGCGGCATAAACGAGTGCGTGAACTAAGTGAGATAGCGGTCGGTCCCGAGTTTACGGATGTCATAAAAACCCTAAATGTTCTATGATTCATATTCGGCGAGAATACAAAGTGCCAATTCCGCTGTAACAATAATAAGTGGCTGGATTATTTTTTGACGATTCTCAGATGGTAGAGCGAGTTGAAAATGTTATAATTCGCATATGGAGTGAACGGTGAACTCTACTAATCCGTATTGGATCTACGTGGTGGAGTATGGCCAGAGCCACCCCACAGTTGGGGTGAAGCTTCTGCCCTACAGTGGGACTGGGACGAATCTAATTCGTTGCTAGATTTGCATTCTAATACTGTGCAGGGGAAATAAATGCTGTTTTAGATTTGCATCGGTAATGTTAAGTTTTTCTGGACATACGTCAATAATAACAAGGCAACAGCGGACATACCTGATAGACTCAAAATGACGATTTGTAAGAACTATTTATTAGTCTAAACAAATAAAGAAATTTTGACTTTGACTTTGACTTTGACTTTNTTTGATCACTACAAGCCCGGACACACTGTATAATATAGATAGCAGTTGCAATAAAACAGAATGTGTACTTTCCAGCGCTCTAATGGACACGCTCATAACCCCATTATCGGAGCGAGCGGACGAGTGGCGGCGCGGCGCGTGCTCGTCGAGTGGCGCGCTGAGTCGCGAGCACGCGCGCGAATGCAAGCGCGCGCGCGCAGAACTGCGCCGACGCGTGCACGACGCGCAGAGGCACGCGCGAAAAGCGCGCCGCGCGCCGCCCGACGCTAAGAGGAGGGCTGATGTTTGTATACAGGTAAGGGCTCGTTTCTACGGCAATCCAGTTCTGCGGAATCCAGTGATGCAGGGTCCCGCAAACCCGCAAAACTGGACTCATGTCGTGTGAACACACATTGTGTTTGAAATTCGAACGGATCGGTTTTTCGCTGGACTCTCCAAAAGGGATGCTCGTGATAACGTTACGATTAAAACACGTGTAATAGGATCCTTCAAAAAACAGTTCCTGCAAATAACGGAAGAACAAACCCTAAGTTTAACCCTTCGTTCGTTCGTTTCAACCAGAGGATGTCTACTGCAGGCTGAACAAAGGCCTCTTCCAACGATTTCCACACCGACCGGTCCTGCACTGCTGGCATCCAAGTGCTTGGTCGCGGGCGACCATCACCAGACCGTCAGTCTAACGAGTAGGCCTGCCTATCAGTTCTATCCATCAGAGCTATGTGCCCTTTCCACTGTCCCTTAAGTGTTTAACACTGAGTGGTCTGGTTTGACGTGTGTAGAGATGTAAAGTTATATTAAAAATCGGGATCTCTTAAGTTCAGCTTTTAGAGTTTCTTAAACGTGGATTAAACGTGCTACAAACAAAGTACTAATATGTACGACCAATGTTTATTAGTAGTGTCCGATATTTCACGGCAGTGCACATTTTGTGTACTTAAAGATCAATCACTGTTTATTCACCCATTCAAGTTTGCTGTTTCAGGATATTCAGGAAAGGAAGCAACAGCTAGAAGAAATGGAAGAGAAGGCAGTGAAGGCAGCGCTGATCGAGGAGCGAAGCCGCTTCTGCCACTTCGTCTCGCTTCTCAACCCAGTGGTGGTAAGATATTTTGGTCTCATTAAACATCACCATCATAATTTTAAGCTGTCTGGAAGACATCGCTTTATAGCAGTATTTCCCAAAGTGGGCGATAAAGCCCCCTTGTGGGCGCTGCAGGCTTAAAGGGGGGCGGTAAGAGACCCAGAAAAAAAATCGGGACGTTGTGTAGAGGCTTGGGAGGCGTCATTTACTAGGAAGACTCTTAGATACCCACTGAGCACTCGACACTCGACTACAAATGGGGGCGCTAAAAAGAATTTATTCTCAAAGTGGGCAGTAGACAAAATAAGTTTGGGAACCGCTGCTTTATAGCAATAAGACCGCTTTATTTGTACTGTCCCTGTGTATTTCTTTCTTTCTTGTTTTGTGTGTGGTGTACAATAAAGTGTTTTTATAATGATTACTTCATGGCCAGCGATCAACTACGATCGAAGCGGCTCCTGTATAGTCCAGCAGGCATTTATTTATTTCCTAATCATTTCCAGGAGTGTGAAGTGGCAATGCTAGCGGAAGTGGGCCATCTGCAGGAAGGCAGCGAGCAGCTGATCCGACACACGGCAGAACCTAGGACCTTACCCGCTGCCAGTCTACAGGTAACATTCGACAGGGTTTCTACAAGGTGTCCCTGCAAGTATGGATGATACAAAAAGGATTGTCAAATGCAATGACTTTTCCCCAAGAGAAAAAACTTCAGACCTTCCAAAAAATACCTTTTCGTAAAGATTGTCTTCAGTAATCAATCAGCCAATTGGTATGGGAACGTAATCTTCATATTGTTCTTGTAGAAAGGGTGTAGCATTTGCATAGTAGAATAAATCCTTTTTGTCTGATCCATACTTAGGGATACACATTACAATTCTTTGCCGGTCCTATGACAGTTTAACTTTCCCCCGTGCAAACTAGACCTTCATTGGTCGAGTTTTTATTGGCGGTCAAACTGTAGATTCCTCACCATCCCACAGCTGCAACTTGCGTGGTAAGGTTAGCTTATTTATGCAGGTGATATGAAACATTAAGTCGTGCCATAGCGGGTGGACGTGTCGTGGCTCGTGGCGTCGTGTGTTAAACCCTGTGCTTATCTGACGACTAATTTGGTGATTGAGTTTCTTGCGCTACTTCTTCCCAACTTCAAGTAGGGGTTACAATGTATTCAGAAGCAAGCTTCACAAGTGCTTGTGGTCTAAATTGAATAAAATATTTTTGATTTTGATTTCAAGTTAGAATCAAAGCACACGATTTGTGGTGGCGGCGGCCGAAGTGGTGTATGTCGCTGCGTAGTCTAGCATAGAAATATCTTTGGCGTCCTTCACAGCGGTTGTGGCGCCGCAACGCATCATGTGCTTTGGCTCTTACTGTTACTTACCACGCATTCTCAAAGAAAGTGGGCTTAAAGTTTCTGATTGATTTCAGGTGATATGCGACATCAAATCCTGCTACAGCGGCTGGGCGGAGAGCGGATCCGCGCCTCACTCGCCGTCGACGTCGTCGCGCCTCGGCAGCCGCAAGTCCTCACTCACGTCCATATCGTCGCTCAACAGCCAGTGCTCGGAGCCGCACGGTGAGTCTCATCATCATGATCATCGTCATCGTCATCATCATCATCATCATCATCATCATCATCATCATCATCATCATCATCATCATCATCATCAGCTCGGCGTCGTCGCGCCTCGGCAGCCGCAAGTCCTCGCTCACGTCCATCTCGTCGCTCAACAGCCAGTGCTCGGAGCCGCACGGTGAGTCTCATCATCATCGTCATCATCATCATCATTGTCATCATCATCATCATTGTCATCATCATCATCATCATATCATCATCATCATCATCATCATCATCATCATCATCATCATCATCATCATCATCATCATCATCATATCATCATCATCATCATCATCACATCATCATCATCATTATCATCATAATCATCACTGTAGCCTATAGAGACCCCACACCACTAGTTAAACAAGAACCAGCCACATTATCAAAAGCAAGTGCTTGGAGTCGCAGCACAGTGAGTCGTCATTATCATCATTATTCATCTTTCATTCATTCGTTTCAACCAAATGACGTTCACTTCTGAACAAAGGTCTCTCCTAAGGAATTGTTTTAAACTTTCATGGTCACTAACATAATAATTTATTATTGACGGGATTGCTACCATGTATCTTAATTTCTAGTTTCCGATATTTCGGCACTGTTGCAAGCGCCATGATCACGGAATAACTGAGTAACTCTTAGGCCCAAAACACACGGTGAAACGCAATTGCAACGAAACTGCAACTTCTAGTTACTTTTGAGTTGCATCTAAGTTTCTGCCATAGATTCCGTTGAGAGACCACACATGACGCGACCAGTTTGAAACCGGTTTAAAATGGTCGCGTCAAATGCAACTCAAAAGTAACTAGAAGTTGCAGTTTCGTTGCAATTGCGTTTCACCGTGTGTTCTGGGCCTTAGGATCTCTCTAAGGATTTCCATAACGACAAGTCCCGTAACCAGGTGTTTATTGTGACCTTTACCAGATCGTTGGTCCACCTAATGGGAGGCCTGCCCCTATTTTGTCAAGTCAGTAGCACACTACGGGTGGCCGCATGCATGTCCTTAAGCACGACGATCTGTGTCTCATTCAAATACGAGGGCTGCACTAAAAGTATCGGGAATGGAATATTTCCACTGTTCCTGTCATATTAAAATCTATTTAATTGCAAACTCCAGGGTTTTAAAAATCGTATACCATTTATTTATTTAAAAAAAGATTCTCGGTCGTATCACAAGGTCTTGTCAAACTTGTTTAGTCGTTGAGAAAATGGAATTGACTCGAGAAAATTCAAGAGCGATGATATATTATGACTTTTGAAGTGGTTTAACACAAAAACAGTGTGTTGACCGGATGATTTCTGCATTTGGTAATGAAGCCCCATCCAAAACATCAATTTATCGCTGGTTTGCTGAATTTCAACGTGGACGTGTCAAGCTCAGTGATGATCCCCGTCAAGGTCGTCCAAAACTGTAGTCACCCAAGAAAACGTTGATGCTGTGCGTAAGCTGATTGAAGTAGATCGACATGTGACATACCGCGAAATTCAGGCAACTTTAGACATTGGCATGAGTCAAATACAAATAATCTTGCATGAACAATTAGGTGTAAAAAAGTTGTTTTCCCCATAGATACCGCATTCGCTCCGTGAAGAGCAAAAAGCGGCTCGCGTTACTTGGTGCGTCAGAACTCTCGAAAGATTACACGTAGGATCCTCAAATGCTGTATACAACATCGTATCAGGTGACGAATCCTGGATATACGCGAACGAACCCGAAACAAAAAACCAGTCACGAGTTTGGGTGTTCGAAAATGAGTTAAAGCCAACAAAAATTGTTCGTTCACGGAGTGTTGCAAAAAAAATGGTGGCCACGTTTGTCTCCAAAACCGGCCATGTTGCGACTATTCCTCTTGGGGGACAAAGAACGGTTAATGCAGAATGGTATGCTAGCATTTGTTTGCCACAGGTCGTTTCTGAACTCCGTAAAGAGAACTGCAACCGCCGCATCATCCTCCATCACGACAATGCGAGTTCTCACACCGCGCACAGAACAAAAGAGTTTTTAGAGCAAGAAACCATAGAATTATTGGACCATCCGCCGTACAGCCCCGACCTAAGCCCTAATGATTTCTATACTTTCCCTAAAATAAAGAATAAATTGCGTGGTCAGAGATTTTCATCACCTGAAGAAGCTGTGGACGCCTACAAAACGGCCATTTTGGAGACCCAAACTTCAGAATGGAATGGTTGCTTCAATGATTGGTTTCGTGTATGGAAAAATGTGTCTAATTTCGCGGAGAATACTTTAAAAAGCAATAAATACATTTTTAAATAGTAATTTTGTTTCACTTCCTTGATTCCCGAAATTTTCAGTGCCGCCCTCGTATCACACGTCCAAACAACGCCCCGCGCACGCCCCGTGGCAGTGTGAATGTACCTTAAGTAGTTAAAGGTGATGATTTTTTTTCAGGTGTGTCGAATTCGAACGCGAACTGTTCGACGCCAATCTCAAACGTGACTATGGCTGGCACACTGAGTGCAGCGGACGACAGGCACTGTCTATCACAGGTAACGATGATTTAGTGAACCTTGAATAAGTTATATTTTTCATCATTTTATAGACTTAACGCAAGACTCGAAAGAAGTAGAGTATAATATTTATTTATCGATATTTTTTTTATTGCTTGTATTATTAAAATTTATTTTGCTTTTAATTTTACATGAATTTGTTTAATTATTTTAGTTTCAGTTTTTTTTTTCTGTTTTAATGAGCTCGATTCCGAAACTGTTTGTTGTTGTTATTGAATTGAAAATAAATGTACCGCAATTACTTTTGGCTAATAAATTACAACAGCCATAATACAGACAGAGTAATTTGTTTTATAAATATGTAACGTATTTATTCTTATTTTTTTTTATTTACCCAAATAAATAAGGGATGATCTATGTCTAACATTTTGGAATCAAGCTCAATCTACGAGTATATTCACACCACCACGGGGTTGTTTGGCAGAAGTCAGTATTCTAAACGACACTGTCACTATCAAAATAAGCTTGTGAGGGAACTCCCCGCATATGCCCCGCGTACTCCCCGCGTACACCCTACGTACTCCCCGCGGCGGTGTGAATATACCTTTACCGTGCGTAGAGCGGGTCGCGGCTGGCGGGCGCCGGCAGCGCCGACTCCGGCTTCCGCTCGCAGGACGCTCTGCAGCGCCGCAACTTGTATCATCACGATGTAATTTGATTTTTGTTTTGTTTTTACTTTTAATTTTAGTTTTGTTTTTATTTCTGTTAATTTTTAAGTTATTTTTTGATTTAATTCATTTGTCCATAGATACGCATCATATTACACTATTGCAAAGATGAACAACAGTGCACGACATTGCCAGATAGATGTGGTTTATGCTTCCTCAGTAAACCTCATACTTGTGAAACATTGAGTTCACTTGTTTGTTGCGTTTAAATTATTGTCTTGAACACAGTTTCTAAATAAGAGATCTTGAGAGAAAGAATCTTGCTCCTTTACTAAAAAGTGTCTCATCTTATAGTTAATCTAGTTTGGGATCTCACAGACAGTCAACAGACTCAGGGCTTCCGCTAAAATAGTATGAGCAGCGCAGCGTTTTAGTGTAGGCCTTAATGTCAAAACTTAAACCAGTAAAGTTGCTAAAATAAAGACAAAGTATTGATGATCTTACTCGATATTACCAGGGTTCCGACACCCAGAGCATAAGCAGCGAATGCATCGGGCTGGACAACGAGCGAGCCGGCTTAGACCTGGAAAGGGATGTTCATAATGCCGGTAAGTGATTCACTTCATCATTATAAAATAATATACCATACAGTTTTGACTTGACCAAGGAATCAAAAGATCAAAAATAAGTAAATAAAAAAGGTAAGTACCCCTTACTTAGAGGGCTCTTAACATATTCCTTTAATGCCCGTTTTCACCATCAATCCCTAATTTTTAAGTGACCCCTATCATACCCGTCCGGTAATCCGTAACACTTATCAGGCATTTTGTTTTCATAGGGGTCCCTTAAAAATACGGATTGATGATGAAACGGGCATAAGACATTTTTTGTCCACCAGTATAGTTTTAAATCTCATTCGTACACCTGGTTATAGAGTTACAACTTAAAAATTACTAATTTTACAGGAACAGCTAGTAGTTTACGTAGTTTTTGACGCAGATTCCGATCGGAAAGTCGCTTTTGGATTATTATTTTTTGTGCTACTTTAACGAGTGTTATATGTGCGATATTTATAACAAAGGCCAACATTTTTACATAATTTATTTAAGTAAACTCATTGAAGTTACAATTATTTTCACAGCGTCGGCGACGTGGCCCGACCTGAAAGACACTGCGCAGTTCGAACGCGCAGCCTCTGCTATCATGGGAGGCCGGCCGCACACTATCTCTGCAGGTAACGAGATTTAGGGAGTTTTTATTTCTGTTTACGGAGAATTTCAAGTCGAATGACGCAGATTAGTGTAGATTTATGGGTAACATTGTTATAAAGAACCTGAATACAATTTGTATTCAGTGAAATCAAAGTGAGGTCGAGGAAACGACCAATATTTAGCACTCTAAGACGTCTAGCCCGTAATCATATTGTAATAATGTTTGTGTCAGCTGTGCGGAATCTTCTCATCGACATCTTAGGAGGCAACTAAAGGACTAGTACCAGAACATCAGTTCTCTTCAACCCATCCAAGAGTGGCGAGAGTACATTATGGTTGAGTTGCACCACCTTTCTTTAACAGTAACATATTTAACAATAACCGGTGTTTTTTTGTATGGAATTTGATAGACTTTTGACGTTTGTTATAGATATAAGATGGTGCTTAAATCCTTACTTTGGTAACTTTGATAGGGTCATACTCTTGCAGTGAAGAAACAGCTACAACTGCAGTTACGCCACCGACAGGCGGCAGTCGTCGACGAGTCTGCAGCTGCCGCCAAAAGGTGGCGACAGCCGTTGCCACTGCCGTCGGCTATGAGCCGCTCGTGTATAAGAAGCCTAAAGGACCTAATGATGATGATGATGTATGTTTGTTGCAGCGTACTCGCGCCAAGCGCCGCGCGCGACACTAAGCGCGCACACTTTCGCGCACTCCGAGCTCGACGTGCAGCGCGACGCTATACAGGCGCGCCCGCCGCTGCCCACGGTACTTGTTATTTTATATTTATTCACATTTGGGAAACACAATTTTCATACACAGATAAACTATCACACAAAAAATAGGACAGAAATCAGCAAAGTTTCCACAGTAATAGCCCATGTTAACATGTGCATATGTTACGGTTAATGTGATAAATTGAAAATTATTAATAATAACCGGTTATTATGAATAATTACCGACAGTCGCGGTAAAAGTGATAAATTAATCACATTTAACAGTGATTATTTAATAATTCAACCTTAGTACTAACAAATTTCTTAAAAGAGAACAACATCTTGTGTACGTACTCGTGTACAGCCAAACTTTTGAACGTTTTGATATCATATATTAATGTAATTTGGCATAATGAGTTTGGAATGTTTCTTGCATAATATTACTTTTCCATGATGCCTATAACATAATGTTTTGATTTGAAGTGAAAAATAGGTTAAGGTGCGGCGGGGGGGGCCCTTGGGCCCCCCCTAAGCCGCCTATTTAGTTTTATACACACATAAATTACCTCATATTAATCACATTAACCAAATCATGCGGTAATTATTCATAATAACCGGCGATTATTCATAATTTTCACATTTATCACTTTGACCGTAACACATATAATGGTATGGTGAAGTCAGAAAATTGATATCTTCATTTTTTTTAAATTTTCATACAATATAAGTTTATAGAATCAGATTTGTATGAAAATTAAAAAAATAAAATGATGATATCAATTAGGTATATGACTTTACCATACCATTCATATGCACATATTAACATGGGCTAGTGTCGGCTTATAAACCCATTTACCTAACACCCTATATGAACACAGAATGCAAACCAAAGCCACGACTAAGTATTAAAGAAACAAGAGTTTAAGAAGCGACAGAAGCCGACCGGAGAACGTGTCGGACTAGCTGATTCGAGATCCGAGCAACGCTGGTTCGAATCCCGTCGCCGCTTGACTATTGTGTTGAACCCACTCGTAACACAAACATAAACTTAGCTTGAAGGTCTTGCCTATTATATTATTATTATTTAAAAAAAAACAAAGTCTGGCTATGTGTTATCACACATATATGGGTATATCTACCCAAATTAAAAGAATCTCACTTAGCTAGCATAAAACACGACGTTTATTTGAATAGTGTAAGGTAGTTCCCAGCAAGTTACGGCTAATTTGATGTGACATTGATTCGCAGACACCTATCTTTCAGGTATTTTACATAATTTAATCATGAAAAATACTCCCTTTAATCTCACCCTGTATATTTGTATTTTCCAGCGATGCTCATCTTTAGAACGACCCGCCGTCCCAGCTAAGTCGACTAATGCCAACACCGGCCAGCAAGAGTTCAAGCCAACTAAACCTTCGTCGCTACCGCCACATCTTACTAAAGGTAAACTAGCTCTAACTTCGAACCAGGGATGTTATGGATATCCGTAACCGTAACCGAAACTTTCGGATATATATTCGAAATAAAAAAATATCCAAAACCGTAACCGATTCAAAATTTTCGGATAGTTTCGGATGTAGGCAGCTTAAATTGTTTTTGTACATTATTCATTATAAGTTAAGGCATAACAGTCTGATTTACCTTTATAATGCCATAATTTTTTTTATTACTTTTTATTCGATGTAAAGTGTGCGTCCATGAATGAACCGTGTTCGACAACTATTGAAAATTGCATTCTAAAGCACAAATATCCGTAACCGTAACCGAAACTTTCGGATATCCGAAATAAAAAAATATCCGTAACCGAAACCGGTATAATATTATTATTATATCCGTAACCGTATCCATAACCGAAACTACATATCCATAACATCCCTACTTCGAACTCCTATGTTCTTCTGATTAATGTCCAATGACAGTTTAACTTTCCCCCGGGACAAACTTGACCTTCACTGGTTAGGTTTTATTGGCGGTCAAGCTGTAGATCCTGACTACACAAGAGTTGCAGCAGTAGGATCCCTCTCGATCCGCTATACAAATAAGATATTCGCGATATTCTATACAAATAATGTAACAGACACCTACATTTTGCTTTTAAATTCGATTGGTGTCGATTATGAAACACGATACGTTTGCGGTTAGCCGTCTTCCGCAAAAGTTTACTCAGTGACATTCTATTAATCGACAAACGCAGACTGACGTCCTTCTCGAAACATCGTAATTTAAAAGGACCTATAGTCCCTTATTATAAAAAAGTTAAACCCGGGACGAACACTGGTTTAAAATGTCATTTCCACTAAGGCCATTTTACTTTAACAAACGTCAGAAATCTGTCAAACTCCATACAAAAACACCGGTTATCGTTATAGTTACGCTTCGAAGTTTGGTGGTGCAGCTCAGTGTAAATATCAATTTAAACTAGAGTTTAACCAGATTTTTTAAATTCAAATTCAAAACGTTTATTTATTAAAAACACAGTAATACAGGGTGCCAATATTAATGTAGGATCATGTGTTTAGTCTGCTCGCAGACGTGCAAAAACTGTGTGTAACAAAGAGTGTAACTTTTTGTATTAAGGGGGATCTTGTTATAGTATTGTTAAGTGTTGAATGGTGCAGTGTAGTGTCTTCCTTTAGTTCCGTGTATTACCGCAGAGATGCCAGCGTAACGTGCTGCTCAAAACTATATAATATTCTACCCGTTCGCGCTAAGTTTGCCGGTCCGTGGAAAGCGCGTCCCCTCTCCCTACCGCGATTAAACGCAATTAGTTAGTGATTAAACGCAATTAATGTGTCTTATTTTACGCAAATACACAATTTTTATCGATAATAATAAATAAAAAATATTTTAAATATAGTTTAATAAAGTTATAGACGCTTCTTTTCGAGTGACGGCATATCGCCAGCGGCAAACTTAAAGGCCTATTCAAACCTGAGCGATATTCGCTGCCGCTGTGGGTAGAGGTACATACCACGCGGTAGCGAATACCGCTTAGGTCTGAACAGTATTATTACCGCATACCCACTGGGTTTTCTCTGCCGCAGACGGTAGCGAATACCGCTTAGGTCTGATTAGGCCTTAAAGTGAACGGATAGTATTGTATTTTTTAATATTAAATGGTGCATTATAGTGTCTTAATTTAGTTCCGTGTGTTACCGCAGAGATGCCGGCGGCGCTGTACGTGAACATGTCTGAACTGGCGACTTTAGCTGCCTCGCGCGCGCAGCAACACAACGCGGAACATCCGCATCAAGAGAAGGTAACGTATTGATTCCTTTAGCTTTATTGGACACAAAAACGATTACAAGGCGAACATAATGCTTTATGCTACAATGCAACCTTGTTGGTGATCAAATAAATAAATAGCATTTTATCTTTCAGCCTATGATATCGAGACAGTACATCTAGGACGAAAAATTTTCGTCTTCGAATCGTTTGCGTATTCGACAAAATTCTATACCCAGCCTTTGTATTCAACGATAACATGACGATCTACCATTTCTCGTACGAAGTTCACTTTACGTCACGTCCACGGGGCGCTGTTTATATTTTCTGGGCTGAGTTGCACCATCTTACTTTAACATGGACAAACGTCAAAAATCTGTCAAACTCCATACAAAAAACACCGGTTGTCGTTATGATTACGGTCAAAGTTAGGTGGTGCAACTTAGCCTAAATCTTTTGATGGCGATTTGAATACGCAAACGATTCGAAGTCGAAAGTTTTTCCTGTACCTCTATTACGAAAAACTTTCGAGTTCGTTTCGTTTGCGTATTCAAAGTGCCATCGAAAAATTTTGTATGAAAAATTAAACAGCCCCCCCTATATTATAGCCGCCCTAGGGGGCGCTGTTTAATTTTTCATACAAAATTTTTCGATGGCACTTTGAATACGCAAACGAAACGAACTCGAAAGTTTTTCGTAATAGAGGTACTGATAGAGGAAAGGAAAAGCAAAAAACTGGAAACTTTTTGCTAAGGCTTTTTTCAAAGCAACTTATACACGTCTCAAATACTTTGCCCTACCATAAAGATGATTTTATAGATTGTTCTTTCAACTAAAACGTTAGTTAAATTTAAATTTTGACTTTTCCAGAATAAATAAAAAGAATACCAAATAAATATAACTTTATTTTGCTTTTCATCATTATCAATACAAAAACACTATCTATTACCCAGAAATGCATTTCCCATTTGCGTCATTTACAATGTCTTACAGCATCGAAGTTAAGCCAAGTTGAAGATCCTCATATTCGTACTCTTGTCCAAGTGGTAGGCCGGCCTCTCCCGCCTGTGTCGAACTGAACTGGAAATAAAAATATAATAATCATGTTGATAGTCATAAGCAAGTTTTAGACACGGTTTCCACCAAAGCGGAGCGGAGAGATGAGGAAATAAAGAAATCTAATTGGTTATTGAACACTTCTCCGCTCCGCTATTCGCTCCTCCGCCTTGATGGAAACCGGGCCTTATGCCGGTCACAGACACATGTCAAGATGTTTGTAAAGAGGCTAAAATACGCCTGAAAATTTCGAACTAAGAGGATGCCTTTAAACTAATTTATAAGAACTCTTGTAACCGTTGTTTATACACAAATACTTTATTAATTACTTTAATGACACTTTACAAAATGTTTAAACAATGTGAAAAGTTGGTAAACTGTTTCACTGGATAGGGTTCCTTAACGAAGTCCAAAAACTCCCTGACTAAGCCTCCACTCTCAATTTTGATGGTTCAGTACATACTCGCATGCGCAGGAGTATCATTAGGGCAAGTGACCCGGTTGTGGCCACCGACCCCTTTGTGGCCATTTAGAACTTCAAATCGTTATAAATAAGGCAAAGACTAATATATTACTCTATGGTTTACGGGAATAAAAATATCTAATATTAGCAACACTGATAGCGTTAACAGCTTTGATGTGTCAAGCTTCACTTCAATCCAACAAGTCATTATTTTTTGAGAAGCGTTAATTGTTCTAAGTCTTAGCAAAAAGGCTAAGGCGAGCGTGTGAGTAAACAATCATTATTTTCTAATTCCTCCTTATTTTTTTAAATGTTTATGTTAATCCTTAATAAAGAATACACTGTCTAAGTGGTACTAATGATATTTTATCGCTATTTGTTTATTAAGTGGGTTTATGAGAGGTGGCCACTAATGGAGCCAGAATGAATGAATTTTCCCATCTTTGGCCACATGCCTGGCCAAAAGTGGTGCACGAAGAACCCCACTTTTGGCCATTTAGTTTTTATCGTGATTTTTCAATTTAATTACTTAGATATTTTGATATAAGTAATCGATTCATTTTCAGAGTTACGATTATAATGCCTCCATCGAAACCAAATACTAAAAAAATCGGTGTTGTGAAAAGAAAATTGTTCCAGTATTAACCGCATAAACTTATACTATAGGTTATTGTTGATCTCCTTAATTGTAATTTCAATTCAAGCTGAGATATTATATTTCATACTAGCGGCCGCCCACGACTTCGTACGCGTGGATCCCGTTTTACCCCCTTCATCTATCTTACGCGGTTTAGATTTTTTCGTACAAATGTTTTTTCCCGCTAACTCCCGTTCCCGTGGGAATTTTACAATATCCTGTTGTAACTAAGCTTTAAGTTTACTAAGGTACCTGCATGCAAAATTTCAAGCGTCTAACTTAAGCAGATTAGATTTTTCATACAAAAGGATTTTCCCGCGAATTCCTGTTCCCGTGGGAATTTCGGGAATTCCTTGTAACTAAGCTTTAAGTTTCCCAAGGTACCTACATACCAAAAGACAATGCCGGAAATTGGCGTCTTTTTTTTTTCGCGCGGCCATCGACCAAACTTTGTTTTTTGATTACAAAATAGTGTAACAAACCAAACTTACTATGACATGTATATCTCTAAACTCAGTCTGAACTGAGTTACGAGCATTACAAGTTTGATGATTTTCATACTAGATTTGCGTTTTGCGCGTAAAGTTTTGTAAGAAAATGCAACAAAATAGTGAGATTGTATGTGTAAACAAACAATACCATCCATTAAAGGCTCCAGACATCAGTATGGAGCAGAATCAGTGCAATAAAAAAATAGCGCAATATTTTGTTGCAATTTCTTACAAAACTTGCGCACAAAAAGCAAATCTAGTATGAAAATCATCAAACTTCTAATGCTCGTAACTCAGTTCAGACTGAGTTTAGAGGTATACATGTCATAGTAAGTTTGATTTATTACACTATTTTGTAATCAAAAAACAAAGTTTGGTCGATGGCCGCGCGAAAAAAAAAAGACGCCACTTTCCATACAAAATCTGGCATTGCCATTTCAAGCGTCTAACTTAAGCAGTTTAGATTTTTCATACAAAAGGATTTTCCCGCGGATTCCCGTTCCCGTGGGAATTTCGGGAATACCTTGTTGTAACTAAGCTTTAAGTTTACTAAAGTACCTACATACCAAATTTCAAGCGTCTAACTTAAGCAGTTTAGATTTTTCATACAAAAGTATTTTCCCGCTAATTCCTGTTCCCGTGGGAATTCCTAAGTATACTTTAACCTGCCCAGGAGTATGAAAAATAATTGTACCAAGTTTCGTTAAAATCCGTCGAGTAGTTTTTGTTTTTTTTGATGAATTTTGATGGCCAGAACTGGCACATGACTGTGGCCAGAAATGGGGTAAAGCTGGCCAAAAGTGGCACAAATTCCCATTTCTTTTTCTTTTCTAAAGGATTATTTTTCCATTGAATCATTATGAAAAAAAATGTATCCTTAGGCTAGATCTAAATATATTTAGATCTAGCCTAAGGATACATTTTGTACAATCACTTTTTACAAGAAATAAGTCCGTGATAACAAAAACTGTAAAATGATATAGCCTCAAAGTCTAAAAAATTCTTAAAATGGCCAAAACCGGGTCACCTGCCCTAGTTAAAATACGAACACTATGAAAACTTCTCACTGCACTTATCGTGCTTCACACTGTGGCATCTTAATGCGATTGTAATAAGTGCTATTTTATTGTAAACTCTTTTCCTCTAACTCTGATGTATGTGATGACTGTATTACGTTATACAATACGTACATTTTATCCCAATGGAACTTCGCGGCCAAGGTTTCCGAGAGCTGTCCCTCCTTCAGTTGTTTCTTGACCGCTCGTTCAACCAATCGCAATGAAGAGAACATGTTTTGCACCGACGACGGCTGTCGGTTGCGAGATGTTGTCTGGAATACAAGAAAAAATATTGCAATAATACTAATGCCTGTTGATATAATGGGCCCGAAGACGTAGTGTGTTCAGGCCCCCCACTAGGTGGACCGACGATCTGGTGAAGGTCGCGGGAAGTACCTGGATGCGGGCAGCGTAGAGCTGAACGTTGTGGAAATCATTAAGAGGCCTTTGTCCAGCTGTGGACGTCATTTCGATGAAACTAATACTAATGCTGACATGTCTTACTTTTAATTCTGCAACGGCAATCGCACAATAATGTGAAATTGCATGTTATTTTGCGATAGTTAGCGTACAATAGTGATTTATGTTCTTCCCACCTCAATTTTTCTTGTGGATGACTAAAGAAGAAATCTGCAAACTTCAGGTCTCTCAGGTCTTTTATGTGGCTGCAGCGCCAGGCGAAAATCGAGCTACAGAATAATATCAAGCGCACGCATCAGGATGTTAGGCAACCGATGTTGATAGTACTCACTCGTGAGCTATGACACTAATTATGGCTTATGTCCGGCTAAATGAAGCACAGAGTCCGGCTATTGTGTTTTTGGACGTGGCAACCCTACTCCCTCCCTAACCCGTTTAGCCAGCGTAGGGAGTGAAAGCCAAATCCCCATTTCCCTCTGATAAATTAGAGAGGATCTTGAGGGTGGGGTCCTTCCAAACAAACCTTGCTCCCTTTCACCTTGGCTTATCTTCTCTAGACTATATTTTGAAATGTTTTTGTTGTGTGTCGGGAAATACTACTAAAACTATTCTCTTACCATAATTTCAATAGCATCGAACAGTTTGCTCAACTCTTTCTTCTCTCTCTCACTGAGAGTGGGATCCTTCCAATCGAACACCTCACTCTCTTTCAGCTTAGTTTTGATCTTCTCTAGTGTGATTGGTGAGCTTTGGTCTGGGATTTCCCCTGATTTGTATGCTGCCTTCGCGTCTTCTTCAATGGGACTGCAATGATAGATTAATAATGTTAAAAAGTTTAAGTTAATGTATGAAAAGATTTAGGCCAGTTCAACCTTCACAGGACCTAATTTAGATTGGCCCCAACGTTGGCCCCAACGCCACTCATCAAACGTGTGGATCTAGAAAATACTATTAGCACCAAGCAACGATGGGACAAGCAATTTTCTAGATCCATTCGTTGAACAAGAGAAGGCGTTGGGACCAATGGTGGAGCCGGCCTTATTCGGTTTATTCCAGTTATATTGCACACATAAGAAATAAATAAAATAATGTATTTATTTATTTAATTACATAGGTTTTAGGCCTTATAACGTAATTAAATAATATTTTACTTACCATTGATAGCTAATGTGAATGTTCAATACAACACTGAAAGAAACAAATAAAAACATTAAGATTTCAACTGATAAGGTGCCTTTTTGGCACGAAAGCTCCTTATCTGTCTTGTCTAAGAAACATATTTTTTGTCTATTTTTTTTCTATTAAGTTTTTAATTATTGCACTTATATTAAAGGTCGGTATATCTATCATGTTATTATTGTTCTTGTGTCCCTCGCGACTATTCGTTGGGAAAGCGATTAGAAACAGAAGAGTGTTTGTAAACAGAGCGTCGTGTTCGCTGCTTAGACCGTAGCGTAGATACTAGCGATTCCCACGTGATTTGCGCACGTTTTGACGACACAAGTCATTTTTGTAGCGGGACTCGATCCCGCAAAAGGAATGGAATTCGACAACGCAAATGGTTATGTAGTGAACAAACATTTTTATACTCGGGGTGATAGAAATACTTTGTAATTTATTAATAGTAATATTGTCGGATGCGGGCTGCGTAGGACAGGTTATTATGGAAATCCTTGGGAGAGGCCTTTGTCCAGCACTGAACGTCATTTGAATGAAACGAACGAACAAACCCATGTTGACAGTAATATAAAAACTTTTAAAGTCACTGAATGATCTGATTTAGATTTCAATATCTGGGCTGAGAAAATCACACTTCATCAACTGTTCTGGCCAGCTTGAGTGTAGGCCATATCCTCCATTTGCCTCGGGTAAAGTAGAGTGTCGTGCTACTGCAGTAGAGAATAAAATTAAATGACCTGATCATTTTTCAATTTTCTGCTTACATTATACCATCGATTGGTTGTTGACATGTAAAGACAATAGTGATGCCATCTAAGGCATTGTGTGTATGTCATATGATGACCACGACCCCAGACAATGAGCAAGGCGACTAAATGAGTTTTTTTGTAAACATCTCTTTGTTTCTAGGAACTGCTTTTGTAAGGGGTTACATAACCCTGCACAATACGGCTCTAACTGTTAAAGTTTTCTGATAATAGTATGCCAGAAATATTTTTCCCAACAACAATGTACTTTTATAAAAAGGGAAACTTGTCATTGGCTATACTATCAGTCTAAATCTTATAACTAACATTTTCAATTTATCGCTGTTGGTTTCTATAAAATAAATAAATAAAAATAATATAAAATAAAAAATAAACATTTCTTATTACTGCGAATTATTAATCACCATGATTTCAATTTTAAAACTATATAGGTACAATGAAAACTGATTTATCCACTAAATGGCTGAATTTTAATTATCCGATTTTACTTCTCTGGCTTTCATGTCTATTTAGAGTAGATTCATAATTTGTGTGACATTTGAGGGCCTATTTCTTCTAATCGTTTTGAAAACGGCGTGAATTTAATCTAGAAAATTAGTTACAGATCAAAAACTTGTCTATTTTAGATTCATATTTTGTTTTGTTAAATAACTGACCATATTGAACAAAACGAACGAGTTAGAAATAATTAATAAAAGTAATACTTTCCAAATAACACTTTCTGTCTATAAATTATAATTTAGCCATTTCAATTTAACTTCAGCCATTTCGTGGATAAATCAGTTTTGATTGTACCTTAGTTTTAAAATTGAAATCATACTTACTTGAGTTCGAATTACTTAATAGCTTTATTTACAATCACTTACGAGAACTCATACAGTTCGGTTGTTAAGCACTGTTGCGAATTGATTCGACAAACATTCTCAACGCTAACAAAGCTATACACTGAATTCTTATGTAGTTGTGGTAGAGGCGATTTTCCTACAATAACGCATGATTTGTTGTGTTCTCGTTTGATAAATAGTTTTTATTAATTCAATGAAACTTAGTTGATATTACAAATTAACATAATAACTAAAATATTCTTATGTTATATCAAAATAAAATGTATCGCTTGATTGAGCAACTGACAAAAAGGAATTAATAATTTTACCAAACACTCGTTTGATTTTTTAACTTTAACTTTATCCTATTTTTATTTTATTTTCAAGTTTCATGATATTTTATCTATTAATCCACTATCACTATGTTAACAAAAATTGTAATTCACAATACTTTATAACAATTTAAATCATGAATACTCACAAGAGGTTAAAAATCAGTATCCTAGCACACATTTTGTCACGCACAACGCGGCTACACGACGGAGCTGGTGTTTGGAGGCGATTGTAAAACTTGTCGCGGTTATATTGCCTGCCATTCAGTAGCGAGGCGTATACTACGATCTAGATGTCTTGATATTTGATGCGAGAAAAATTTTAATCACTTTCGGAAATGCGCTTGAAAAGTGTTGAAAGTTGTTTTAATGACAGGTTTGATATTTCTTTAAGTTTATTTTTGAGGCCTTAATAAATTATTTCTTGAATGTAAGGCCGTATTACAAATCAACACTCAAAAATTCATTCAATCTCAGCAATCATACTTGTTCATTTTCTGACGTTTTTCGTTCGTTCGTTCGAAGAGTGTTATTATTGAATTAAATATGTACTGTAATTATAAACTTGTAGTTTATCTGTTGCTATTGTAAAATTTTCTTCTATAAAAGCAAGAGATATTCATCAAGTATCAACACACCTCAATCCACACTCAGATATCGACATTTACGAGAGCAGCCCATTGTTTGAGCGAATGATAACTTTCGTTTATTATCGACAACATATTCCATACAATATCACGGCTCACACCATTGTATGGGAGTATAATAAATCATTTTTATTTGCTTAATATTGCAATCAATGTAATATTTTTAACATAACACAATACAGGGTGATTCTGCTAAGACCTCAAATGAGAGAGAGTGATTTTATCGATAGTCATGCGTGAAAATGATTTATGTATATGAAAAGGCTGATTAAGGTTGCTTCTATAGCTCAAGTTCAATAACCGTATAAGGCTTTTGTTTGAGTGTTAAATGTTATGTTTAAGATATTTTAAGATAACATCTCCCTTTGTCTGCCATAACCACACAACTAAGGGAGACACAAATATGTGATATCCAGACTTCCCAGTTTCCAGTCTTGTCGTTTCGTTCTATCGCAAAGAATCACCATTTGATAAGAGCGAGAAAAACATGGAAATGGGTAGTTTGAACTTTGACCGTAGTACATTAATTGCTCTCAATCGTTTCTTGGATCAAAACCCAGAATGTAACGTTTTTTCAGAGGGATGGAGTTTACTCGCAGAATATCTATATTATGTTATTCTGTATATTCTGAACTTTGATTGTTACCTACTTATAACAATAGTGGCAATGAGGGCTATCGTTTTTATACTTAACAGTTGGCACCCCTGGCGATTGACAGGACCTTACTCTACAGTGGCGCCATGTTGATGAGTGCAAATGCGATAGTCTTCCTACCACTTTAGCGCTCACCAGTTGGTGCCACTGTCTTCGCAACTAGCAAGTGACAGGACCTTACTCTACAGTGGCGCTGTCTGGTGAGCGCTAAAACGATAGCCCTCATTGGCACGACCGTTCTATTAACAAATAATTATAAATCTCCTTCAGGTATGCTCAGAGAGCAGTGCTAGTGAATCGTCCCTAGAGTCTTCGAGCGGCTACGGCAGCCAGGGTGCCTTCGCGGCGGAGGACCACGCGTTACAGCAAGCGCAGCAAGCTGACGGTGAGTTGGCACTTATGTAGTTGCAATTAGTGCTATTTTGCAATGAACGTGTATAGATTGGCGACTGTAGTCCGGTTGAAAGGAAGAGCCTTCAAATTAGTAGTAAGCGCTGCATTGACGCGACTGTGGTGCAGTAGACACGTTTGTAGAATCGCTTCATTAAATAAATTCATTAGGTAAGTGAAGCGATTCTATTGTAATTATTATTACGGACGGGATTGCTACCATGTACCTTAATTTTGAGTTTCCGATAATAATAATTATGTTAGTGACCATGAAAGTTTAAAACAATATAGGGATTCTATTGGTTCTTTACAAAAACATCCCTCGCTACGCATCGTGGCAAATCTCTAGTAGGTAGTTAATGAGACGATAGAGACTGTTAAAGACACTTTAGATACGTCTTATGCCCATTAATACAGTTGATACTAAAAGTTGTGATTTCAAAAGTGACAAGAATTTGTCGATATCGTATGAGCAGTAAGACAGTGACGTAGTATTCGTGCCACACTGGTGTCATTGCAGTGCTTCACCGCATCTCTAACTTGAAGGCTCCTTAATTTTTCTTCTTTTTTAGTCGTAGATTTTAAAAATCCTGAAATAATGACGCATGAGTGTTGTAATTTAGTAGATTTTGTTTGTTCGCAATGTTTTTTATTAGCCCTTTTCATTGTTCGCATATGATTGTTACACCAAAGATACCAAAAAATAGCTATTTAGATTATATTACATTTCAAAGTATTTTGAGACCTAACAGTATGTAATTAAGAGTACCTTTGGTGTAGCAAGCGTTATTTTTGTGTTTTTCGTTACATTTCTGTTTAATTTCGCTTCGCATGCATTCCGTTTGCCCCGCACAGTCGAGTCCGAAATCGTGACGTTGCGTCGCGATAGTGACGCGTCAGTGGCAGCAGCGAGAGAGAGCTTCTCTATCTCACTCGGCAGCCTCGAGGAAGCAGTGAGATCGCTAGACGAAGCCAGCGAGAGCCCGTCGTTTGCCACCATTGGGAAAAAGCCGGCGGTACCGAAGAGGCGGCCCGTGTCAATGACCGGTAAGTCCTGAATCGCGGTGACGAAGTTTTTTTTCTCGCCCGTATATAGGCGCGGGGTCTGCCAGTACTTTGACAAAGCTGTTGGGGCTTCTTGGGTTAACAGCAAGGTCTGTTGAGTTCGATGTATCGATTCTATTGATCTCATGCCCTATGCTGTCGTAAGGTGAGTGAGACAGCTATATCGATAAACAATCGATTAGCAGTAGGGTCTTCCTCAAGGTAAGGGAGAGCTTCTCTATCTTACTCGGCAGCCTCGAGGAAGCAGTGAGATCGCTAGACGAAGCCAGCGAGAGCCCATCATTTGCCACCATTGGGAAAAAGCCGGCGGTACCGAAGAGGCGGCCCGTGTCAATGACCGGTGAGTCCAGATCCTGAATCGCGGTGATGAAGTTTTTTTTCCCGTCCGTATATAGGCGTGAGGTCTGCCAGTACTTTGACAATGCTGTTGGGGCTTCTTGAGCTAACAGCATGGGTCTGTTGATTTCGATGTACCGATTCTATCGATCTCATGCCCTAATCAGCATCGTGAGGTGAGTGACAGCTATATCGATAAACAATCGATTAGCAGTAGGGTCTTCCTCAAGGCAAGGGAGAGCTACTCTATCTCACTCGGCAGCCTCGAGGAAGCAGTGAGATCGCTAGACGAAGCCAGCGAGAGCCCGTCGTTTGCTACGATCGGGAAGAAACCGGCGGTACCCAAGCGGCGGCCCGTGTCGATGACCGGTGAGTCCAGATCCTGAATCGCGGTGACGAAGTTTTTTTTCCCGTCCGTATATAGGCGCGGGACCTGCCTGCCAGTACTTCGACAAAGCTGTTTGTGTTGGGACTTTTTGAGCTAACAGCATGGGTCTGTTGATTTCGATGTATCGATTCTATCGATCTCATGCCCTAATCAGCATCGTGAGGTGAGTGACAGCTATATCGATAGACAATCGATTAGCAGTAGGGTCTTCCTCAAGGTAAGGGAGAGCTTCTCTATCTCACTCGGCAGCCTCGAGGAAGTAGTGAGATCGCTAGACGAAGCGAGCGAGAGCCCGTCGTTTGCTACGATCGGGAAGAAACCGGCGGTACCGAAGAGGCGGCCCGTGTCAATGACCGGTAAGTCCTGAATCGCGGTGACGAAGTTTTTTTTCTCGTCCGTATATAGGCGTGAGGTCTGCCAGTACTTTGAAGCCCACACTCGGCCTCGTCGGCACGCGCACCGACGATCGCCAAACGGCTAGAGTACCTTCTGTACTCGCCACTCTGCCCGGTGAAGCTGGAAAAGCTCCTCAAGCTACCAGCGCGCGTCCCTTCAAAAAAAAAAAAAAAATACTTTGACAAAGCTGTAGGGGCTTCATGAGCTAACAGCATGGGTCCGTTGATTAGAGATGTATCGATTCTATCGATCTCATGCCCTAATCAGCATCGTGAGGTGAGTGACACAGCTATATCGATAAACAATAGATTAGTAGTAGGATTTTCCTCAAGACAAGGGAGAGCTTTCACTATCTCACTCATTCTGAAGGAAGCAGTGGAGATCGCTAGACGAAGCGAGCGAGAGACGGTGAATGAAGGATAAAGATTATCTCGGAACTATCGATTCCTAAAATCTGTATTCATACATAAATTAAAGATAGACAATCGATTGACAATTAATTAAAAGTGACACAAAATGCGCCATCATCTCTACTGAAGGTAAAATTTTTAATAGTTTAATCAATCCAAAATACTGAGTAAATTGTTTGTATGTTTTATTTAGTTTGCATGTTGAGTGATAATTGTGGTATTTTTATATCTTGCAAATAGGTATATTTATGTCATTGACGCTTAACCTTCATTTGCCTCTAGTTTTACAAAGCAGGAACTTCAATGACGATACCAAAACTATGAAACCACCATTCATAAACCATGGGATATTCACTACACGCATAATTACAGTAGATAATTTTGTAAACTAAGTAAATAGCATGTGAACTTCCTTGTTTTATTACATCATTGAGTAAATTATTCTGGTACGATAGAAACTGAGAGAGTAGGCACTTTTACAACAATGTATACCTAATTAATTAAATTGAATTTGTTTGTGCATTATTTGGTAAATCTATTAAATATGTAGGGGCTTATTTCACAACATCATAATATTATTAGATTTATTTATCCTTCTCACTCAAAGCAAGATGCCAGTATGAGTGACAGTAACAGATATAGAAAGGAACTGTCACTAGGAAGTGATACTTTTATTTCTAAATGAGTCGGAAGGAGGTTCAATAATGTTTTTTTTGCAATATAAATTTTATTGCAATAAGTACCTATTTGTTTTTATGAAATCCGTAACAGAAAATATCCATTTAAGGAATGAGTATACTTTATACGATTCTATTATAACAGCCGTGTCGTCAGAGCCATAATATTTACGCAATGGAGTAGTAGGAAAAACTATAAATTCTTATGGTTTACTAGCTTTCCGCCCGCGGCTTCGCCCGCGTGGAATTTTGTCTGTCACAGAAAAACTTTATCGCGCGCGTCCCTGTTTCAAAAACCGGGATAAAAACTATCCTATGTTCTTTCCCGGGACTCAAACTATCTCTATGCCAAATTTCATCAAAATCGGTTGCGAGGTTTAAGCGGGAAAGCGTAACAGACAGACAGACAGACAGACAGACAGACAGACAGACAGACAGAGTTACTTTCGCATTTATAATATTAGTTGGGATTAGTTGGGATGTAAAAATGTTTTGTTTATATTCACGGTACCTATTCAGTGCCGGATTAAGCCAGCGCGGGGCCTGTAGCAAATTTCTATCAAGGGGCCCTTGGTTTGCTTTAGGTTCTCAAGTTTAGGGTATTAAATGAAACAAAACTGTTACAAATGAACTTTTCTTGATTTAATGTGGGAAAAGGACAGTGCCAATCCATGTATGGAAGTTGGACCAAGTGCTGCCCAGAATGAAACCATAGTGCATTTTGTTCCTCAGGCCAATATTAATTTGTAAACCGGTGTACACTGAAATCTATCCCTGGAGTTAAGAGAAAAAAAGAGTTTTGTTTGGAGTTATTTACATACAAAATATCATCGATGTATACCTACTACGCATAAGATTTCGCGATTTTAGCATTAAATAACATTCGCTATGTTGAACTTAACCATATTGCATCCGTACACCTTAATTTAGTACGACTTCGACATTATTCATAAGCGATCAAGCGCTGTTGCAGTAGTTTGGTTAGTTGACCGAAATTAATTTAAGAAGTCGAATTAAGAAGTTTTAGCTTACAATAACTTCAATAATCGATTGTAATACACCAATAAATTGATTTTTCGCAAGGATCGAAAACTAAAACTTCTTGCTTCATTTTGGAAATTATAATGATTTCTGTCAACTAACCAAACTATTGCAACAGCGCTAGATCGCTTAAAAATAATGTCTAAGTCGCACTAAAGTAAGGTGTTCGGATGCAGTATGGTTAAATTCAACATAGCGAGTGTTATTTAATGCCAAAATCACGAAATCTTATGCGCGACGTATTATTCGATGATATTTTGTATGTAAATATTTCAAAACAAAACTCTTTTTTTCTCTTAACTCCAGGGATAGATTGCAGTGCGCTTCGGTTTACACATTAGTATAGGCCTGAGGAACAAAATGCACTATGGGTTGATTCTGGGCAGCACTTGGTCCAGACCCTGGCACTATCCTTTAGAGATAACACTTTCAATATCAACTTCTTTAAGCAAATCATGCTCTACGAGTATATTCAACAAAGTAAGATGATTAAGACGTTCTTGTCCCATCGTGTTCCTTAATTCATTTTTAATACGTTTTAATGTTGAAAAAGAACGTTCGGCACTGCAGTTAGTGATCATGAGAGACATGTAAATGCGCAAGGCAATTTCTAAGTTTGGAAAACACGATTCTTAAGAATTATTTATTAAAAGTTTTTTAAAATGATTAGTTTTTCAAAAGTTGTTTGTAAAATGATCTTTTGTCATACGTTTTTTTGTTAAATAATAGTAAACCTCATTTTTTAATTATCCGCTTTTTTACTTGAGACTCTAAAACACCTTGCTCTTAATCTACCGTCACTAGCTTTCAATAATCTCGAAACATGATCGATATGATAATCGATTAAAAAGGTTAGCTACATTCACTCATAAAATGAATCTATATTTTATAACAAATCTACCAACTATAGTAGATTGGATCGTGACTGAATTAATAAATTTCAAATAGTTCGCCTGTTTTCTCGAAATATTGATAGTTAATCGATATTATATTAAAATCGATTAAAAAAGTATAATCTCGGCTACCTACGTAAACTAATAAAATAAATGTATACCTATAGAAAAAAAATAAAAATCTGGCCGCTTGAAGGGTAGAAATGTGGTATCTATAGATGTTAGTCTAAATACATATTATATCGATTATAATTAAACATTATAGGCCAGTAGAATTACATTTTAAATCGGAAATAAGTCCTACAAAAGATTTTTGCCCATTAAGACTCTCCTAGGTTTTCGACTTCGACGGAGTCGTGCTTAAGTGGTGGGGGGCCCCCGAAAGGGGCGCTTTTTATGTTTTCCGGTTATATCGCGTAAAGGACTTACCCTATCGAAAAGTGGTCTTCCTGACGGTTGAAAGGCATTTAATCCTGCATTAAATAAGACCAAATTCATACGTTTTGGACAAACCGTTCTCGTGCAAATGTTTGTACGCAATATAACCGGAAAACCGAAAAAGCGCCCCTTTCGGGGGCCCCCACCACTTAAGCACAACTCCGTCGAAGTCGAAAACCTAGGAGAGTCTTTATGGGCAACTAATGAAGCCATTAAAGCACTAAAATCTTTAGTAGGAATTGTTTCAGATTTAATTCATTTTTGTGTTTAATTCTACTGGCCTATTAGAGAACATTCACGTTAAAAAGTTCGTAAAATACCTACCTACTTATTTTTATGATTTAACGTGATGAAATCGAGTTTTAGATTTTCAAGTGAAAGTAATGCAAGATATTTTACGCTCCTATCTAAATTAATATTTTTTTATTTCGGTCAGACAGGCTTTGGAGCGCGGGGCCCCCAAATTCGCGGGGCCCGTAGCATTTGCTACTCTTGCTACGTGGCTAATCCGGCACTGTACCTATTATTATGATGCTTGGGAAAACAATTAATTTCAAGTTCATGATTTCTATTTTCATAAGATCATTGCACCTGTTCAAAGGAATTCCTTTAGAACAATGTGCATTTATTCTGCTTGTTTCACAACGAGTCACACCCAAACGAACGTTGGGAAAAAAATTCCCATCGAGTCACACCCTTACTCATTAACCTGTATTTTCTCTGTTACTACATCATTTAAAGTTGCGCAGCAAACAAATAGGTTATATTATGTAATATTGAAGGTTCTGTGTAATTAATGTATTTTAACCGAATGGTTTCAGCAGAGTAGTATAGGGCCACTTAATCCTGTTCCCATGGCTGTCGTAATAAACGAACATTATAGTATACCTTCCCAACTCGTCTTTGCTTAGTGTTTGCCAAATCCTCCATTTCTAGTAACCTCCTTTGAAAAACTTATTAAAACTCATTAACTTAAAACATATTATCGTGCTCCTACAGACTAGACTCCTGGAGACTAATGCCTGTTTTCAATATCCCCTTTGAAAGCAAAATCCCTGTTAGTGTTACCATAAGGGTCACTTAAAAATTAGGGATTGATGGTGAAAACGGGCATAAATGACCTGATGATGATGGGGTATGTCTGTTGCAGCGACAGTATGGTCGAGGAGAGGTTCCTCGAGCTCCCTGGGGAAGCCTCCTCCTCCGGTCAGGAGGTCGTCCTCCATATCCAGGCCTCAGAGACCACCGTTCGCTCAGGTACGTGTGAACAAATTCAAATTCTTTATTAGTATGTAGATCCTTTTCAGGATCATAACCGTCAAATGTATTGTTTGTGATGCATTGTGACACGCACTAGAACTGAAGTGGAAATGAGCTGGTCACATAGCACGCTGCACTGATGGAAGATGGACATTGGAAACCACCAAATGGAAAGGACCATCAGGCAAAAGAAAGGCAGGTAGACCGAAACAGCGATGGGAAGATATTTTATTATTATCGGCTCATCAAGACATCAAGAAGTCAGTTGCTTTTGTCAGCCTTATTTATTACCTAACGTACCTTTAGTACATCCAACACACGGTTGGAAAATGTAGTGTAAGACCTGTAGCCTTATTCACGTAAGAAAACTTCAACGAAAACAAATCGTTGAATGCGATCCTATCGAGTAATCGTTCCACCGAAATTACCCTTATGAATACGGATTTAGAACTGTTTTTCAATGGGACGACGTAACAAAACGTCAATGACAACAAATCGCTGAGTTGCGATCCTATCGAGTAATCGTTCTATAAAAATGACCCTTGTGAATACGGATTTAGAACTGTTTTTCAATGGGACGACTTCTGAACGTCAGCGAGATCTTGATTGTAAATACGTGAATTAGGCCACTGCTCGATAGATCCAAGAAGAAGATGGCAGCGGCTGGATTTATGGCATTTTATCAGATAACCAAAGTTTTGCTTAGTTTATACGCTAGGTGGCGCTGTGTTAAATGCCCAAGGATGTTTAATCACTCTTTCTCGTCTCCAACAGGGCAACAACCAATCGCCTCAGATGTCAACGGACGCGGACAACTTGCCGCCGCCGCCGGCGTTCCTACTTCAGCCGGACAACGAAACTAATTCTGGTAACTTTATAAAGTTATAACTTTAAGAGTAGGCGCACACCGTTGGTTTTTCGTCGGCCGATAGTTTAGTCGGGCAGTTGATCAGTATGGGCATGTATGGGAGTGCGCACACTACGCCGATTCGATTTGGCCGATTCTTCATACAATTTAAAATCGGGCACAACTATCGGCCAACTGAAATTCAACGGTGTGCGCCTACTCTAATAACTTTCTATTCATCTCTATCTATGTTTGTGCAACCTTTTACTCTCTCATGTTCCACCTTTGGTCCCATAGTGAAAACTGTTATGTACTGTGTGGTAGAGCCCTTCCTGAAAATGTATGTAACGGATAAAGATAGCACACTTACCGACCCGGAAAGGCATCAACACCGTCTTGCCTTTCGCCGCGCTATTGCCGAGGCGAGGCACGGTGCGGTGCGGATAAACGGGACTATTCCCACCTCTCGCTCCCACCGCTGCAACTCCTGTGTAGCCAGGATCTACAGCTTGACCGCCATAAAACCCCAACCAATGAAGGTCAAGTTTGTCCCGGGGAAAGTTAAACTGTCATTGGACCTGCAACGAAATTAATCAGAAGTGCGGTGCGGATAAGTCTGCGTTGCAGTATGGAGATTAACACAAAGAATACTACTGACCTTCTCAAGTTACGATCCGTTTCCGGGTTGATAAGCGTGCTTCGTCCTTTACCATGCTTAATAAATAATGTAAATGCACATGGTACGAGTATATTTGCTTCTGGTAAATAAAAGAGAGTCTTGCTTTTATAGTTGAGACTTATTTATTACTTGATGATGATGAAATACAGAGCGTATACAACTCGTATACCTTTGACTTCTTATAATAATCTCAGTATTCCGGTACCAGTTCCTCTAAGATTTACAAAAGCAACCAACCTCCACCCATTTTCTTCCAGCTCACCCCGGCATAAACGTGGCCGAAACAGTGAAGCAACTAACCGAACTGAAGCATATGCCGGCCTCTCCCGGCCTGGTCCGTCGCAGTCTGCAAGCCCAGAACTCCCCGCACACGCCCCAAACGCCCCACACACAAAGCCCCACGCAACCTTCTCTGTCCACCTTCCAGCAAGCCAAGTCGAACTTCTCGTCGAACACCAGTTTGAACAGCACGGGGAATTTGAACCCGATATACGGGCAGACAGGACACCGTATAATGGCATATGTCGAGAACTCAGTGTATGTCAGGAAGAATAGCCTGAATAATTCCAGCTCGGACTTGTTCAGGGAGGCTAATGCAGGTGAGATTTAAATAAAATAGCTAAAGCTGATCAATAAATAAGCTAAAAGTAATTGTTTGTATGGTTCTTGTTTCGTTTCCACGTCTAATTTTTGTGGTATAGGTGAATCAAGGCCAAAAACAGATTGAATTTTCTCGGCTTAAAACTTTAGAGAGTTAAGATAAAATATCTTTTAATTTATATTCGTTATCGATGCACCTGACTACACACAAATACACGTAGAAATATGCTAAAACATCAATCTTTATTGCATAGTAACTAACAGATTTCGACATACCCGTTGTAAAAAAACAATCTTCACTAAGGAAATAAACTGTGTTCCGAATATTGGGATACTTAATAGTTTATAGGCAGATTTAATAGTGTACCAAATTAAATGAAAAAAATAGCCAAGTGCGTGTCGTGGCACGCGCAGTGTAGGGTTCCGTAGTTGTCCATCGTTAACACAATATATTTCAGAAGGAAGCAATTACTTCATCTAAAGTCACTCTTAATATTTTCCAACCATAAAGTCACTCTTAATATAAAACAGATCCCTAAATGGAAAAATAGTCTTAGAATCCCCTAAGCCAATTTAGAAGACCAAAATTTTATTTTACCGTTTTGTCGGCGTAATTAATATACATAACATACCTACCTCCACAAAATTACAGCTCTCTAGTGCCAATAGTTTCCAACAAAACTTCGGACAGACAGACAGACATATCGAAACTATAAAGGTTCCTTGTCAAGACTACGGAACCCTAAAAATGATATACTTTTTCGTTTTGAAATAACATTATATCGTCTATTCCAGCAGGATCGCCGCACGGGTCGAGCCCGTCGACGCCTAGCTACGGCGAAAACAACTCCTTCTCCAGTTTCGGGCCGAGGGTGTCCAACGACTCGCACTATGGACAAACTGGTGAGTTGACTGACGTAGCAGGTTCTTGTGTCGTTGCTATCTAGCTCTTAACTCAGTCAGTGCCCGAGGTGGCAATGACATTAACACATTAGACAATTACATTTTCACATTATGATAATAACATTGATACATTATGGCAATGACATTGACATATTATGACGTGATGCATTGAAATTTGAAGCATATCTGAAGCCTCGTTGACATTTGACGTCTCAAAAACACCCTCCCGTGCCTACCTATAATAACACAACTTTGGTGTCATAATTTACGAGCTTGGCCTTCACTGGTTGGGTTTTTATAGACGGTCAAGCTGTAGATCATGGCTACATAGGAGTTGCAGCGGTGGAAACGAGAGGTGGGAATAGTCCCGCTTTTCTGGTGTTGGCATGTCTCCCTAACCTGTTTAGTCAGGGTGGGGAGTGTAGACCAAATCCTCTATTTACATCGCACTCCTACCGTGGAGACCTGTTGTGATTTCTAAATGAATTAACTATTATTATATATTTTTTTGACATCGCATCTGTCACTGTCACTTGTGACTTTCTTTTCCGCTCTTCTCTTGATTTATGGCTATCTGTAGTTACTGATGTAGTGTGTCTAAATTCAATAAAAGCTCGGTTAATCTTTCATCATTCTTTTATTAATACCATCAAGACCATATGACCAGATGGTGATGACCCTTGAATCTCTCGGTGCAGGTTTCAAACTGCAGCAGGAGAAGAAGTACCAAAGCAGCAGCATATACGCCACGCCGCAGCTGGCGCGCCACGACGCGCTGTCGCCGTTGGCGCTGCGCCGGAACATCGCCGCGCGCTCGCACAGCGCCGACCGCCACGCCGAGCGTGAGTATACCGACCTGACGAGTACCACACGCGTACCATACGTTCCATATACGACACGACGCGCTGTCGCCGCTAGCGCTGCGCCGGAACATCGCCGCGCGCTCGCACAGCGCCGACCGCCACGCCGAGCGTGAGTACACTGACTGACGAGTACCACACGCGTACCATACGTTCCATATACGACACGACGCGCTGTCGCCGCTAGCGCTGCGCCGGAACATCGCCGCGCGCTCGCACAGCGCCGACCGCCACGCCGAGCGTGAGTACACTGACTGACGAGTACCACACGCGTACCATACGTTCCATATACGACACGACGCGCTGTCGCCGCTAGCGCTGCGCCGGAACATCGCCGCGCGCTCGCACAGCGCCGACCGCCACGCCGAGCGTGAGTATACTTGACTTACTTGACTTAAGGCGCTACCTCGTAAAAGTTTTCGGCCGACTGAATGCCTCGCACACAGAGGGATAGAAATATGATTTCTCAGTGCGAGGAAAGGGACAGCAATAGCGCGCGCGGCGTGGAATAAAATAACGTAAGCGACAAAAATCGGAAATCATGTATTTATTGAAAAACCAAACACTATTTAAAGAAAATAACTCGACCAGTACTTAGAATATGTTTATTACCTTACCAATATACAAAATTTGGTATTGAAATATTAGCCTATCTGCTTATAAAACGAAAAACCGAGTAATAGAAGGGTCATCTTTGGATTTTTTTTCTATCGAGAAAATTGTTTCCATTCATGTTTCGGCTTCGACCAGACACTAGATTTATTAGTCAACTATGACATATTTCAAAATAAGAACATAAGTAATAAGAAAAGTACGATTAAAACTAATTCTGCGCTTCTTTAAAACGCCCAATATTCGCAAGGCATCACCTTAAGGTCCTATGTCCCCTAGATGGGGCAGAGGGCGTCCACAACAGTCCTCCATCTCGTTCGGTCTTGAGCTTCTCGCTTGATCTCGCTCCAGGTCTTGCCGATCTTCTTCGCCTCGTCCGCTACAGTGCGCCGCCAAGTTTGCCCGGGTCGACCACGTTTGCGTTTTCCTTGGGGATTCCAATCCAGAGCCTGCTTAGGGATGTGATCGGGGTCCCTTCGGAGAGTGTGGCCAATCCAGTTCCACTTGAGGCGCTTGATCGTTGATTTCGTGGCAGCGTTCCAATAGCTCGACGTTGGAGATTTTCTCGGGCCAGTATATGCCGAGAATTCGGCGAAGGCAGCGGTTGATGAAGACCTGCAGCTGGTGCGAGATAACCTTGGTGACCTTCCACGTTTCACACCCATAGAGCAGAAGACCCAAGCCGCACGCTCGCACAGCGCCGACCGCCACGATGAGCGTGAGTATACTGACTGACGAGAGTACCACACGCGTACCATACGTTCCATATACGACACGACGCGCTGTCGCCGCTAGCGCTGCGTCGGAACATCGCCGTGCGCTCGCACAGCGCCGACCGCCACGCCGAGCGTGAGTACACTGACTGACGAGTACCACACGCGTACCATACGTTCCATATACGACACGCCGAGCGTGAGTATACTGACTGACGAGTACCACACGCGTACCATACGTTCCATATACGCCACGCCGAGCGTGAGTACACTGACTGACGAGTACCACACGCGTACCATACGTTCCATATACGACACGCCGAGCGTGAGTACACTGACTGACGAGTACCACACGCGTACCATACGTTCCATATACGACACGACGCGCTGTCGCCGTTGGCGCTGCGCCGGAACATCGCCGCGCGCTCGCACAGCGCCGACCGCCACGCCGAGCGTGAGTATACTGATCTATCTAGGCCATTGGTTCCCAAACTTATTTGAGTCGCGCCCCCTTTTGACCATACAAAAAATTCCGCGCCCCCCCCCCCTCCAGTCAATATTATTTATTGGTCGTATCGAGCAGTCTGGAATGCATTCTCTCAGCGTTCGCAGGTTTTTTATACTTAAATACACAGATGGCCCGCGCCCCCCTTTAAAGGTCTTTGGTCACCCCCCACTTTGGGAACCAATGATCTAGGCTATCATTACCTAATGAATAGCCCACTGATAGCTGTATAGACGCCACCACAAAGGCTTCTGAGTGCACCATGGTCCAGTGTACTCACGACGCCTGAAACCGTCAGAAATGGAAGCACATCGCCACGAGAGCTACTCTCGGAGATGACATCCGGCACCCGGGGCGACTCTAGTCAGTCCAGGACCTTTCTTACCCTAATTGGCCATAAGTTCTGCCCATAAGAGTACCACACACGTGCCTTATAAGCCGCGCAACAGCTGGTGCGCCACAATGCGACACGATAAACTTTTACCGAGGCATATTATAGATTTTACGCGATAAGCCCATACATTTGTCAAAGTCATCGATAAGATTTTATCACGGCGCGCATCCTAGCCTGATGGGCTCGGCTACTGCATCATTATTTCAGCCTATGGCAGTCTTCTGCTGAAGATAACCTCTCTCCAAAGACTCAATCTTGCTCACATTACACCTTAGCTTGGGAACCCGTTTGCCACCCGTCCTCTTTCTTTCTATCTTCATAGAATGTGCGTAGCGCCACGCCATACGTGAGTCCACCGTACCTACTGCTAACCTTTGTCCAGCTAGTGGCAGCCCTCTGGACTCCAAGGACCGTCACAGAGTATTATTGCTATTTTTATCCAGGCGCTAACAAAGTCGCTAGTATTGCTTGTGAATTGTATCTCCCATGCTCCATAGGTTAAAATTACTTTTTTTGTTATAGAAGGTGGTCTAATAGCGAGTTTGAGCGCGAAACTAGCGCCACAGTTGTCGCCACGGACCACCAGGCGGGCCATATCTACCATCACTCAGGCTGACTCGCCACCGAAAAGCAAAGGTGAGCAAAAACTTATAAAACTGGATTCAGTCTGCGGTCAGGTCAAAATATCATATCAGTTCCGAATTTGTCTTTATATATAAATTTTAATTGTCATTTTTATGAATAAAGATATGAAGAAAAATTGGGTGTATTTTTTTATATCATTTTTTCGAAAACTTATCGATACATCTATGTGAACCGTACGAAACATACCCAGCACTAGTCACATTCGTTTGACAACTGTCATTCTAATCAAGCTATATTGGATAGACTATAGTAGATATTAGTGGGATGCAGTTTCGATTTTCGCTACTTACGAATCGTTCAACTATAGTTTCACATTATAGTTTATTTCTATTTCGATTGTCATCCTTATAGAAATTCGAACGCTAAATGTTTCCTGTTCAAAAATGATCCCTATTCCCCAGGAATAATGCCCACGGCAGTGCAGCCAGCATTCCTAGACAAGCTCTCGGCGACGATCCAACAGCAGAGGCGGCAACTGGACTCCACTCGAGCGAATACCGTACGGGACATGATAAACGCACACGCACAGGTAATGTGAACACTTTGTGAACACTTCGGGTCTAAGTTGCTGGCGATAGTGTCAAAGTTGCTGGCAATATTGTCAACGTTGCTGGCAATATTGTTAAAGTTGCTGGTAATATTGTCAAAGTTGCTGGCAATATTGTCAAAGTTGCTGGTAATATTGTCAAAATATTGTCAACGTTGCTGGCAATATTGTTAAAGTTGCTGGTAATATTGTCAAAGTTGCTGGCAATATTGTCAAAGTTGCTGGTAATATTGTCAAAGTTGCTGGCAATATTGTCAAAGTTGCTGGCAATATTGTCAAAGTTGCTGGTAATATTGTCAAAGTTGCTGGCAATATTGTCAAAGTTGCTGGTAATATTATCAACGTTGCTGGCAATATTGTCAACGTTACTGGCAATATTGTCAACGTTGCTGGCAATATTATAAACGTTGCTGGCAATATTACGTAACGTACGTATTATGAAAATAATACATTACTAATATGGTGTTTTTATTATGTTTATTTACTAATTTTATTTATTACTAAAATTTTATATAATAATATGTGGTTTTAAAAAGTTTGCATAAAGGCATAATCATTAAAATAATAACTAATTTAGTAATCAAAGTTAATAAATAACAAAAATATATATTTCAAGTAGCTTCTAACAAAGGTGTATTCATACAGAGGTGGCAGATTGAGTCATCCCGAGCAATGACGGTTAGGACGCTAATCAACTCGTCCGCGCAGGTACAATGTTTGACAGATATCACAGGCAAATATAAATACAACGTATTTTGAAGCATTCGTTCCAAAAATCACCAGTTGGCGCCACTGATGGTTCCCTAAAGTAGTGGCGCCGATTGGTGACTTTAGGCTAATATAGTGGCGCCAAGAGTCACCAGATTGGCGCCACTGGCGAGTAAGATCCTGTCTTGATAGAGATACAGGCGCCTACTGGTAAGCGTAAATTCTAAAGCAGGGTTATCGCATTTGTGTTTACCAAATTAGCGCCACTGGCGAGTAAAGTCACTTGATTAGATTAATTTTATTTTAATTGAATTGCAGATTATGTGAATTTTAATATTCCTATACAATGTATTTTGTTTTTGGAATAAATAAATGATGAAATAATGTTGATGATGATAATGGCGCCAAGTAGTGAACGTAAATATCTAAGATTTCATTTGAAGTCACGGAGTTGGCGCCACTAGCGAATGACAGAGCCTCACCAGTGGCGCCAACTAGTGAGTGCAAACAGTAGTCCTAATCGAAAAATATTCATCCATAGAATCATAAGATTGATTCAGATTGGAGTTCGAATGCTTCAATAATACGACTTCTTCGTCCTAATTGTGTTACTTAGCATCTATTGCAATTGCTTTCAATTTGACATGTGTATACAGTCGACACACACTTGACCTTCACTGGTTGGGTTTTTATTGGCGGTCAAGCTGTAGATCCTGGCTACACAGGAGTTGCAGCGGTGGGAACGAGAGGTGGGATAGTCACATCAGGCATATTTGTGGCAAAATAGCACCTATGTGAACTACACAAGGTGCTATAGCCTGACCAGGAACATAAAAACCCTCGCCATGTTGCGGAAAACTAATGGTACTAATTTCTTTTAATGGCAACAGTAACTGAAAACTTCATTGACATGTCACCTTGCATGTCAGTCTATTGTTGTCAAAGTGTAAACAAACTTTATTTTAAATGTTTGCAATTGATTTTGTGAATTAAATTGCTAAAATATTTTTATAGTCGTGAAAGAAAAGTGGTTCACGATGTGTTAATGTATTTGTCGAAGAGAAATACTAAGGGTTCGGACAATATTTTCATTGAATAATGTTTCCGACAAAGGTTGTCAAATTGACTGACATGTTTATCGTATAGTACAGTCCACTATGAAAATTAGCTGTAGTCTGTTTCAACTACTTATTTTAATGTTTTTTGTCACTTTCTAAGTTTTGAATTTTATGGAATTGGGAAAGAAGTACCGAGTTTGAAGCGTTCATGAGCAGACATTGCAGTTGAATATTCAAGTTCTGAATTTGATTATTGATGAATAATAAAATAAATCCTACTAGCTCGATTGATGGTTTCATTTAATTTATTTAAACCAGGTTACCTTTAATAATATTTTTCGTTAATTTATGAAAATATCAAATTAGCCCGTAATCCTGAATCCTGATACATAAATTTAGCCTATTAATTTAACACATGTACGACTGTACTCAGTGTTGCACTATCAAATGCAATTGAAGCGCCTCTATGCCAGGGTTTTTATGTTCCTGGTCAGGCTATACATTGTTTAGTTTGATGTGTCGTCTAAACATAGTTATATTGAAAGCAATCGTGATAGATGTTGAGTTAAACAATTAGGAATCTTATCTCACAGCAGCAAAGTCGCTTTGCTCAACGCTTTTGAGGCACTTTCAAGCAAGCGTTTTTAAAATCTTCAAATGATTTCAGCTATTTTAATATAAATCGCTATTCTTCTGATTAATATAATAAAATAATGTGTAATCGAAGTAACTATGCCTATTTATTATGTCTTGGCTGGACGAATTTCGATACGTGGGAGAAGGATTGTGATAATTGATTAGGCTGTTTTTCAAAAATCTATTTTATAAGTTGAAAGAAATCAAATTATTACTTTTGTTATAACCGGGGTTAGTTTGGTGCTATCCATTTTACATGTATAAGCAAGAAAGAGACAGGTTATACAACCAGCCTTATTATCACGCTTAAAATGCTATTTTGGATGAGGGTAGTTGTAAGTTCTACAGTATTATAGCATTATGCACTTTTTGATTGAGGATTGGTACTTATTGCTGGTGGCGGTTTTAATTATAAGCTTCATGTAGGTAGGTATTAATAGTTATTTATATTGTATTTAATATTTGTCATTTGAAATCCACACGCTTAAAAATATTAAAACATCGATTTTATTTTATTATGCTGAATATAACATCATCTAAGTAACAAGTAACACGTATCTTAAGCTTAATTTTACATAATTACTAAGCTAAATTAAGTTATGTCTTTTCTAAAAGATCTACTTGAAATGTGCATAAAAATAAATACTATGAAAAGTTGTGTACCTATTTAGTTCTTACAATGTATTTAAACAAAACTAATGTCGTACACACTGTCAAACCAAATGTCATTTTTGCACCCTACTACACAAAAATCCTCAACATTGGCGATGATGATCTCTTCAAAACTTATCAGCTACTCTTTGCCTAATTTTTTGAAGCCACGATAGCCGAACGGTGAAGGGGTCGGACTGGCCGACTCGTGATCCGGGGAACGCGGGTTCGGTCCCCGCCACCGCTCGACTATTGTGGTGAGCTCACTCGTGATACAAGAATATTTAGCTTAGTACGAGGGGCTAACGGGAGTATTAGTAATTTGTGCAATAACAAATTACTAATAATCTTTAAAAAAAAAAAATAGTTTATTTAACCACCACACTAATCTTTCCAGCCGGACCCTCGCGTGTGCCACACGTCTCTGATGGAGCAAATCAAACGCGGTGCTACACTACGTCGGAACAAGCATTGCAATGATCGGTCAGCGCCGAAGATTCGCTAAACTATGAAGAGAGATGGTGAGCTGTTGTATGTACTACAAGCGACATCTATGTAACTGTTATGTGAAGGTCACACTGCTTGCTTTTAAGGGTAAAAATTTTTTTTAACCGTCGAGAGTTATTGATTATAACGTCTAAAGCCTGGTCCGTGAGCACGTAGAATTTTGTCCAATGACCCCAAGCTACCCATCCTTCCGTCCGCTTCCGCTGTCGTGACTGTGCGACGGGCGCCCGCAGTGAGTGTGCGAGCGCGACAGCAACATAATTACGTGCGAGTGATAAGGATGGGTAGCTTGGGGTCATTGGACAAAATTCTACGTGCTCACGGACCAGGCTTTAGAAACCAAGAAAGGTGAGGCTTTTCAAACTAGACCAGTGGCTAAGTTTTTTTTCACAGTTGACAAAGTCAAATAGGTACTTGTGAAAACTTATGCAGGATGACATTCGATTTTTGCCTCATTTTAGCCTAGACGCAGACCATTAACTTTTAGTTGGCCGATAGTTAGGTCGTGCTCGGGCTGTTAATCAGTACGAAGATGTATGAAAGTGCGCATATTACACCGATTTGGTATCGGACGATTCTTCATACAAATTAAAATCGGGCCCAACTATCGACCTACTAAAAATCGGTAATCTGCGCCAAGGCTTAGATGAAGTGCTTATGAAGACTATCTAGGCGTATTAAATTTAATATTAAGTCGCCACATAACTTTAATCTGCAGAATAAGTTCGGTATAGTACGTTAAAATGACAATTTTATTCTTCAGTCTGTCTGTCTTCAGAAGCTGTGGTTATTAGTAAGATCTGAGATTTCAATTATTTCTACAGGCACTCAGCAGTGTGATCTTGGCTTTATACCAAATTGTGAGAAATACGAAAGGTCAATACGAATGTGTTACTTTGGAAAATAGGCTTCAAGTTGTATCACTTAAAGTACATTTTAGAATAACAACGTTACTACATAATACGTGAGGTCTATTATCCAAAAGCTTGTAACTTTATGGCGATAAATGTAAGTAAATATTATAAAGAGTAAATGGGAATTTTTCATACTGTCACAAGACTTGACTTTCATACTTTTTCATAGTCCACGGAATGTACGATATGTATGTAATATCTATAAGGTGAATGAATCAGTTTGTGTCCATATGAACTACGAGTGTGTTTGCTGCTAAAATAAAAGTAAAAAATACGAATAACAAACATTTAAATTTTTAACAAATCATGTAAAACGAGCATAGCATACAAAAATTAACAACCTTTTGACAGCTCATTCAAAATGTCAATGTTTAAGTGTCAACTACTCAAAAAACTACTCAAAGAGAAATCATGTAATATTACCTACTGATGTAAAAGTTCTATAATAAATCAGTGACGTTGGTATAATAATTATATTAAATCAAAAATAAATAGCGACCTTATACAGCGACTTTCTCAATACTTTTTATTACAGGTTTATATTTAACTTGCAATGTATGTTTGGGTCAAATCTTGCAAGCTGAACTAGACCCGCTTTCTGATTATCAAGGCATTTTATCGAATTTACGCGATTGTCGTCTAAAAAGAATCGATAAGATTTTATCACGGCGCGTATGATAATGCAATATACTGATGTCATGGAACTGGTCTGATAATGGAGCCAGAAGGTGAAACTTAAAAAAAAGGTTTTGATAAATGGTAATATGCATTTTTATCTATTCTTCCGTTATTCATGAAATATAATTAAGTAAATATTTTCGGTGCAGTCCTGTTGTCCCCCCTGCTTGTCCCCCCTGGGGGAGCCAACAGGATTTCGAAATCCTGTTGTCCCCCCTGGCTAGGGGAGACAACAGGACTAGATTTTTAATCAATGATTTGAGGACTGTTGTCCCCCCTGGCAAAAATTATTAAAAAGCCATAAATTTTTATAGCATAATTTACGAAAAACTGAAGTATTTGACTGAATGCCAAATTGCCAAACTGAATACCTAAATATTTGTTAAGTAGGTAAAAATTACAATTTTGATAGGTATTGGTGCCGGCCGGTATTAACTAACACCTACAAACTTAAAATTTGGCAGGTAGGTTCCTTATACGGTGTAGACGTCCACTAAGAACGGAATTTATTTATTAAAGGATAGAAAATAATATGTAGGATAGAAAATAATATGACGAAATCGCGAGCGGCTGCTAGTTGAATCACTGTCACTGAGCAATTAATTTGTTGAATATTATGATTAATTTCAAATTATTCAGTTTTAGCATCCTACCTACTAATGTCGTAAGTAAATGCGGAAGTTTGTGAGTATCGATGTTTGATACTCTTTCACGTAAAAACTTTTAAATGGATTTTTTTTAAATGGATTTTTACTTACACTTGATAAACTTTACAGTAGATAATATTTTTTATAGATGAGAATAGCATAATAGAGGTACTTAGCTTTTGCCTACGTCTTTGTCCGTGTAAAATTTTGTCCGTCACAGAAAAAATATAGAGCGCATCACTGTTTCAAAAACCGGGATAAAAACTGTCCAACGACTTTTCCCAGGACTCAAAACTATCTAAATATCAAAATCGGTTCAATGGTTTAGGCGTGGGATAATTCATAACGATCTGTTAAAAGCAAGTAAAGCAGATTTTGAAATAGTCTAAAATAGTACCTTTAGGCTTTTAAATAATTTTTGCCAGGGGGAACAACAGTCCTCAAATCATTGATTAAAAATCTAGTCCTGTTGTTTCCCCTAGCCAGGGGGGACAACAGGATTTCGAAATCCTGTTGGCTCTCCCAGGGGGGACAACAAGACTGCACCATATTTTCAAATTATTCTGAAATTGAATTAACTTGATACGGCGATTTCGTCATGTAATGATTATAAGGAAACCTGTTTTGACGTACGTTTCAATGAAGTGTTATGAAAGAGTTTCATTATAAACTATAGTCCAGTNTGGTTCGTCTAAATATACGCACGGTGCAGTCCCCTCCCTGGAACTAGGCTTAACATGCTCCCGCATGTCTAGAATGATTGCTCAATGTTGATTTAGTCGATTTTCTCCTGATGGAAACATGTAAGACAAAAATAAAATTTCCAATATTACAGACCTTCTAGAGCAGATGCCGCGAAAACTATACAATTTACAGAAAAACTTGTCTATCTCACTTGTAGCAAATTGAATATGCTTTTTTTGGTTCAAAGTAGTCATGTCACTAGGACGCATAGTTTCCGAGGATTAAGCGAAAAACCGAAAAGTGGCACCTTTAAACCCCCCTCTCCTCGCCGGCTCAAGGGCTAAGGGCGGGGACTTTTGCTATGTTCACCTCCTAACTAGTCTAAATAAAGTCCTGAAGTCAGAAATTGTGTTCTACAGTTTTCCATCTATAATGCTTTATTGACTGGACTACTAATACATTATTTACTGACGCTGCGTAAACGGTTAAAGTTTCGCAAAAATCATGTATGACAGAATTGTTCCCCTAAAAGTTAAAGACTATCATACTCTAGGGGCCTCCACTTAACCTCGGAGTTGGTGCCCGCTGCGTGCGGCTCGCCTAACAATGCATAGTAATGCATGACGGTCAAGCCGCGGGCACCTGCTTGCGCTGTATACATAAACTCATTTTCGCGCGAGAGTTTTGGCGGAGGCCCTTGAGGTAGTGGGAGTAGTCTTGAGGAAAAGCTCCTTCTCCCACGGCCAGTGGCATGCTAGAAGCTTGGTGATTCTAGCACCTGTAGGAAAATAAAAAAAAAGTTTACCAATAATACTGCGGTAGGTGTAGTTTTCGATTTCGTTGCAAAAAGATAATACCACCGATCAAAGGCCGAGCTGCATATTCATAAAATATAAGAAAATTTTATTTTTATGTTTATTAATTTAACCTTTAAGATTTTTATATTTTATAAGTATTCAAACATTTAGATAATAACGTTAAAAACATTTAAAAATCGAATGAGAACGTTTTCGACTTCTCCGCGGACGAAGTCGCGGGCAAAAGCTATTTGTAAAATAATTAGACTAAATTATTAAAAGTGCCTACCCAAAGTCATTATTCCACGCGGACGAAGTCGCGGGCACAGCTAGTATTATTATAAAATTCTAACTTACTTACCTTTAACACTATACAAACACAATTAATGTATAATCTAATAAAGAAGTTTTTCCGTTAATAAACGATTTTACGAACGAGCAATGGTTTCGTATTTTCTAATCAATTATTAAAATTTCTATTTTAAAATGTTTCTTAAAGAAACTCGAAACCGCTAGTTTTCTTTGTTATTTTTTTGCTTAAAAATAATTAAAGATTAATTTTTAGACAGCAGTAATTTATTAAAGTAAAATTACATGCTGAAAATGTTATAACAAGTTATTTTGTTACCTACAACGGTGACTGATGGGGTTACGCACGTGGCAAAAACATACTGTAACGCGCAGGGAAACTACTATGAGACAAAATAATAAGTCAATGACGTAAATACGTAAACAAACACCATTGTAGGCATCAAAATACGGTTAATTATGGTGATGTCCTGCTTGTAGGTAATTTAGTTAGTGATCTACTATTTTTAGAGGCTTTTCAGCTTTGGGCAAACAGGAATAGAGAAGAATTTTTCGTGAGTAAACAATAATTGCGTAACTGACCGATTGATAACACAGCTTACATAAGTAGTTTTATTGTGAAACTAAGAAAGAAAGAAACATTTATTGCAATGGACATCACAAAAGACAAAAGAGGTAAATAAAAAAAAAACAAACAAGACCGAGGTAACACATAAAACATTATTAAAAAGTGTAAGGTACTTTAAAATTGGTTATTGGGCTTTTATTCCGGGGATTCCTTTCTAGGGAAAAACGGGGATTTTTTTAGTTAAATTCCGTTATTTTGACTTTTAAAACTATTGTTTTCATTCCAAATGATGGTTCAGTATACATTCCTAAAAAGGTTAGCCTAGTATAGACGGCAGCACATCAAACTATAATTTTTCGTTAAAAATGCCTCTATTACTAGGCACATAAGAAGCATGTAACTTGACGAACCGCTGTATATAAACACCTTTACTAGCGTACCTTTACCTACTCCACACGTGCATGACAAATGTAGATTTCGGGACATTCACACAATGACCTGACCTACCTAAGGGTAAGTCAC